GTGCAATGATCAGTGATAGCTTTTATATGGATGATTTAAAACTCTACGCAAAGAATAAATCCCAGCTCGTTGCCAGAATAAATGCCAGAACAAGACAGCTGGCAACAGAAATATTTTATCTCAACAAGGGCACCACAGCAAAAAAATCTCATAGAAGATTAACATAAAATAAAAATAAACCAAAACAAATTGATTTAGTTAAATCAACTGGGATTTAATCTTAATTTAATCCCTATAGAAATAAAACGTTAACCACCATAATTCATTTGGCTAGTGTATTAGACTCCATACCGATGTCACTTGGGACTGAGAAATGCGCAGTTCTTCACGTTATAAAAGAAAAACCAAATAATTCCGAAAACTTGTTTAATGAAGAATATCATATTAAGAACCATCAGAAAGAAGATATGTATAAATATCGAGGGATAGAACAGCATTTAAAAATAGCTAGAAAGGATGTAAAATGTAAATTGATAGTTTCATTTAAAAAAAGATTTAAAGATCATCCTTAGAACACATCTTTCTTCAGGTTTAATGATAAAAGCTATAAATACGTGGGTTATTCCTTCCTTATCCTACAGCTTTGGAATTCTAAAATGGTCCACAACGTCACTCCAGGAATTGGATAGGTTAATAAGAACAAGTATGACGGGTTCCAGAATGCACCACCCGACTGCATCTATGGCAAGGCTTTACCTGCCAAGATAGGAAGGAGGGAGAGGTCTTACAAATATTGAAGAGTCTAGTCGAAGTCAAGAAAAGAACCTAAGGCAATACTTTAAACAAAGCGCAGTGCCATGCCATAAGATAATCTGCAATCTCGATCGCGGGCACACTGCTCTACAATTAGCCTCTCATGAAAATGCGCCAATCTTTATTACCGACAAAGACCGCCTGGAAGAATGGAAGTCAAAAGCATTACATGGAAGATTTTTTCACCAGCTTCAGCAGACTGAAATAGATAAATCTTTGTCTGTTAGCTGGCTGGTAGGAGGAAGTCTGTTCCCCGAGACTGAAGGTTTTTTAACTGCAATCCAGGACCAGGTTATAGCTACCAGATCCTACTGGTGACACGTCTTGAAGCAACAGAATGTATCGGACAAATGTAGGCTCTGTGCAAGCACATATGAATCCATTCAACACATAACTGGAGGCTGCGGAGCTCTTGCAGGTACAGAATACCTAAAAAGACATGACGATGTTGCCAAAGTCTATCACCAGGCGATTGGTCTAAAAATTAAATTATTAAACGACCTGGTGCCATACTATAAATATTGCCCTAAAGGTATTTGCCAGAAAGATGGCTTAAAATTATATTGGAATCAATCGTTTATAACAGACCATCTCGTGATCCACAACATACCTGATATTGTGTTAATTGATGGGAATATTAAGGTGGCTGAAATTATAGATATTGCTGTGCCAAATGAAGGAAACATTAACTCAATCTGTGCAGAAAAAATTCGGAAATATCAAGGTCTAGTAGCTGAGTTAAAAAGTTTGTATAAACTTAATAAAGTAACCGTTAGGGGCATTGGGAATCTCCAGCAGTGGCCTGATACCTGTGTCTACTGTGGAAGTTACTGACAGGCTGGGCCTCCAACTCATGTAATAAAGGAAGCTCAGAAAGTGGTGCTGCTGAATACTGCCAGAATTGTAAGAAGCTTTCTCAACATTCAATAGAAATTAAAATTGAACATACCTGAGGTGGTTGGAGTTGATTCTCCCCCTCTCAAGTAAACAAAAAACCTTTTGTAAAAGTGTTGACAAATAAAATAATAATAATAATGCTTTATTTATTCTGGGACGAGTCCCTTTAGAATAATACAGAAAGACAAAAATGTGAGCTAAGGAGCCTCAAAGATACATAGACAAAAATATAGTGTAGTGAATAGTCAAATTAAAAAAAAAATAATTAAGAAATTATAAATTACTTTCTAATTTAAATCAGTTAATAATAAAAAAAAAATAAAAAATAAAAAATTGAAAATAAACATCAAAGTAAGAATAATGAGGAACGATCTGATAATTTATATACATATTTACAGTACTATTTACAATTTCATGGGGACTGGATGGATAAGAAATGATTGAACAGGCGGGTTTTAAAGGTAGGAAGAGTTTTGGATTGACGGATGTCGGGAGGGATGGAGTTCCATAGGGATGGAGTTCCATAGGGATGATGGTCGGATAATGAAAGATCTGTCGAAAGCAGCAGTTTGGTGGACCCTTATGTATAAATCAGAAGACCGAGAACGAGTATTGCGGGAACGGACAGAAGATGTGAATTGAAGGAGCTCGGAGATGTATGAAGGACGGTGAGATTGGATGACCTGAAAGAGGAAGGATGCCAGGAAATACTTACGATGGTAGGAAGGATAAAGCCACTTCAACTCTGCATAAAAACGGGAAACAGAGGCGTCCCTTGGGATCCCGAAGATGTATCGTATAATAGGCTCCAATAATCTCCTTAAAACTGTTCCTAATACTCCAACCCTGTTCCCACATGATAACCCCATTGAATTCTTTCCCACAATCAAAAACCTTGGAATAACCTTTGAACAGATGTTTTCCTGGAAAACCATATATCCAATATCTTCCCCCGTATGTTTTCTACCTTAAAGTCTATATTACCTCTGTCACCTATTTTCATTTGAAACCCATAGGCTCCTAGACACTTCATTTATATTTCTCCACTTGGACTATTGCTGTAGGGTATATGGGGGGAGGGGGGTCTCTGTGGGTCTTGAGACAAAAGTAAAACATTTGATAAATTGCTTTGTACGATTCATCTTCAGGATTCTAAGAGACGTCTTAGTTTCCCAATTTAAAAAAGAGCTAAATTGTCTTTATCCTTCCTATTGTCATAAGTATTTCCTGGCATCCTTCCTCTTCCAAGTCGTCCAATCTCGCCAGCCCTCATACATCTCCGAGATCTCCGAGCTCCTTCAATTCAAATCCTCTGTTCATTCTCGCAATACCCGTTCCCAGTCCTTAGATTAATATACAAGAGCCCACCGAACTGCTGCTTTCGACAGATTGTTATGTACCTCTGAGGCTCCTTAGCTCACATTTCTGTCTTTTTGTAATATCCTAAAGGGACAACGCCCCCCATTACTTATAAGTTGTTTCAATCTATTTTTTAAATTCCGTAATGTTTTTGTGGGTATTGTATAATCTTATTATATATTTTACATAAAATTTTTGTTTTCCTTGTGATTAATTTTGTTTACTATTATAAGAAAAAAAAAAAAAAAAATAGATAAAACCCTTAGAAAAATTTCCGACCAAGAAAAATAATAAAAGAATAAATTCAGTTTCAAAAATTAATAAATAATTATATGACAACAAATAAATCAATTAATTGATTAATTTATATAAATTTAATAAAACAAAAAATTATATTCTGACAGTAATATCAGATTCAGTTTTAACGATCAAAATTATTAAAGTAACTGGCCCAAAAGTGGGTATAAAAGATTTTAAAATTTAGTTATTAGTCGGAAGTTCAGACCCTCAATCACTATACTCCCCTTCATGGGAATACAACGTTGGTAATGGAGGTGGTTCGGACAGTGTTGCCAGTTACCAACAGCCAGGGGAGCTGTGAACTGATTGAGAAATTGGTTGGATGAACAAGACAGCTGGCAACAGAAATATTTTATCTCAACAAGGGCACCACAGCAAAAAAATCTCATAGAAGATTAACATAAAATAAAAATAAACCAAAACAAATTGATTTAGTTAAATCAACTGGGATTTAATCTCAATTTAATCCCTATAGAAATAAAACGTTAACCACCATAATTCATTTGGCTAGTGTATTAGACAATTTTTAAAATACCTTTATACAAAAGCTTGTGTTGATGAGAAGAGAAGAACTTAGGTTCTTTTAGAGTTTGGTCATTCTCAGAGTGATGCTGGCTACAGATTTGATTAGTCAGTCACTCTCACACAGTTATTGGAAGAGCTTGGTCACAAACAATGGAACAGGTATTTCTTTGTACACCATTGAAAGTGCAAAGTTCAGAAAATTATCCTTTAGCAGCACCCATATTTGAAAATCTTTACTGTTAGGCAATGAGGTTCAACACTAAAGCCGTTTTGAGGACTAAACAGGGGTATGCATGCATTTCAATTCAAACAGTTTGAAACTGACTCCATGTAGTCAGTTTGAGGGCAAGATAACCAGCAAAGAGGGGTTTCAACAAGTAACCAGGGAGTAGTTCCTATCCAAATTTAAATAAGAAAAATAAAGTGGAAATGGGTAGGAAACATCTTAAGAAAACTTGATATTGTCATTGTAAAAATGCTCTTCAGTGGAATCTCCAGAGAGACATGGCCTAATCAGCAAATCATGACAGGAAGCGAGACAAATTGCACCTAGAAGAGCGGAATGGAACACAGTTCTAGAACCTATGCTCCAAGTTTTTCCCATCATTATTTTTGTTCTATTGATAATTTTATAACATGAGCTTAACAAATGGCTATCATTATTCAATGGCAATATATTGTAACAATTAACTGTGTAATCGTATTCATCAAATTTCATTTGCTCTAAATCAATGGATAGTTGTTGACAGAACACTTATAACATGCACAGAATTATTGTTCAAAGAACAAAATGCATATATCTTAAACACCATAGACAGTTTTGTGATGAGTGATAGGATATAAATAAAATTTAATGCATTTTCAAAATGAAAGTTTTGACAAACTATTTGAATAACTGATAAAAAAAGGTATATATAATGAGAAAACAAACATTACATACATACATAATTAAACAATAGCCTATAAAGTTCAATGCACATCAAATCAATTAGGCAATTATTATCAAGAAAGATATGACCATAAAATAAATTTATTAAAATTTAGATACTATAAATTAGACAGTATATGACTTAAATAAATAAGGTTACCTTACTCCTAATAATTCAAAGTTTCGCATTGAAACAGAAATAAAGAAGTCTTTGTTTATGAAAGAAAACAAAGGATACAATTTAATAACATCAGTGTCCATACGTCTTTTCCCAGCACTGGGCGATGACATATTCATAAAGGTGCGTATCAACAAATAAGAAAACAACAATATTCCCGATTCTATGATAAAATCTTATTTTCAGCAGATATTAGTCTCCTTTACTGAATGTCAAAAACGAAACCATAGTCTTAATATTCATTTTAATACACCAACGTAAAATTAAAACTATTTATAAACGAGGTTTGATTTTCTTTAAACAGCACAATCAAATTAAACTATAATGCAAATCACTAATAAGTTACAAACTTCGATTTTAAGTTAATATACTTTCCACCGAGCATTTGCTTACTGACTACTGTCAACAATAACAGCTGACTGAATTGATTACAGTATCGTATCTGAAGTGTACAAGGGGGGCCCATAGAACTTACAACTAATTAGTTTCTTATTGTCTTTTGTTAAATAACCACTTATATTATTTTTATAAAAAATAATTATCTTTGAGGGCCGTATAATATTAATATTTTGTTTTTCACGACGATGCTAAATTTTAGGAAACTTCTTACTCTCGTAAGTTTGTTTTCTTTCATTTATTATTTGAATTATAAGTCTTATATTGAATGTATTTTGCCAAAATATAGAATTGAATGTTATTTTATTTCATTTTGAGTATTTAAAACTGGCATCCTGATGTTTTTTTTTGTTTCATTATTTGTCATAAACTTGTTTTTAGACTAAATTAATTTTTGGTACCAGCAATTGTACTTCTTGAAGCTTTCTTATTATCCTGTATAAGATATCTGTATTTTGTTCACCATTTCTTTAAATTAATGTTTTTTTAATAGAACTTTAGACTGCATTACAGTTTCATTTATTTATTTACTTGTTATGTGATAAGGAACATCTTGGATTTAATTTATATTAATCCTCATGTTTAAAACGATATATATAAGGTATTGTATTGTGAATTTTCAAATTATCATGATTGTAGTCATCCAGTAAAGACTCCAGTATTGGTAAAAAGGAAAGAAACAAAGCAACTAATCCCTACATTTCCGAACAGTTTATGAGGGACCCTTTTTTTTATAATTGAATTTTATCTGGTATCTCCTAGATTAATGATACTGTTGGTTATGAGATTAACAGCTCTAGAATTATGTAATTAATTATAGTTATGTTGTGTTCTTAAAAATGAACATTCGAAGGTTACTCCCGTTTTATTTAATCAATTACAATATGCATTTGTATTCTAAACTGAATATTATTAAACCAAAATTACACTAGTTGGATGAAGTTGAATTGCTAACTAAAGATAGGATCTAATTAATTTACAGTTAGTTGACGATTTAAGGAATTTCAGAGTGTACCACACGTGTCATATTTCCTAATAGTGATAATTATATTATAATATTGTCAAAAGTTATCTGCTTTAAATTTAATATTTGGAAAATTCTACTAATTATTTATTTTCACATTTATATTAAATTTTAAATTTTCCTAAATTCTAATCGTATCTAGTGTTTTAACCTCATGTTGTTAATAATAATAACTTATTAAAATTGTTAATAATTTATAAAATGTATATTATTATTTTTTTTTCCTATGCCTGAATGACATGCTTGATCAGCTATGTGTAATCTTGGAGCCCTACATAATTTTGCTCTTCTTAACTCTTAAGATAAATGTATATTATGCAAGAGTCTATAAAATAACATATATATTTTAAATTGAATCTAAATGTTTTATATTTTATTAATCACATTTTCATGCCTAATATATTTTTTATATGTAAGTGTATATAATAGTATTAAGGTGAATTAGGGATAAATAATTATATATATATATATATATATATATATATATATATATAATATATATATATATATATATATATATATATATATATATATATATATATATATATATATATATATATATATAAGGATTAATAAATATGGATCTTTGTTTTTTAATAACTAATAAAATAAATGTATCATGATTAAACCTGTTTGAATTATCAATTGCCCCAACATATTCTCTGTTTATGTGCCTGTGTTTTATTAATGAAATTATAAATTAAACTGTTATTGTTTAAACATTTTATTTATTATTTAATTCACATTCCTAAACCTTTATAGTTGGAGATAATTATTTAAAATAAACTGTTGGGGATAACCAAGTCATTATCCTTATTCTTAATATTGTATTTCTGTAAAAGAGAATTCTAAATTGATATGTTACAATATAAAATGAAAAATTATAGCTATTATGTCAGTGGCTCTTATAGAACTTGGATCACTTTTTTGAGAATAATTTTAAAGATTTCGAAAAATTAAATATTGAACTAACTGTGAGATTTAGAATGTTTCCGATCACATGAATTTGATGTAAATTTAATCCTCTTCTGGACCAGAATGGTCTTATAAAAGTACCAGGTACTAGCCTTATTTTGGATATTTGTACTTTAATATATTAAAGTTATTTGATGTTTGTTACTTTAACATATTAAAATGAGGAGAAATTTTAAATTAGTATAATCCTTTCATTTCCTTTAATCACAATAATCACCTTATCTTCTTTAAATTTGCTTAATATGCTTATCTTAACAGTTGATCTTTAGCATTAAAAGGATTTTTAGTAATCTATATTGTCTATTGAACATTTTTTTGTAGGCTATTCTCAAAATAGGTGAGCTTTGAAGTGATACTTAAGTTCTATGTTAATTATTAACAATTTCTCAAAAAATTATCTTCTTGTTGAGCCATATAGGTAATTTAAATGTATCAAACTGGATAGATGCATATTTCTGAGGCATATGTGAATAGTGAAGACATGTTAAATACTCTCTAGTGACAAATTGACTACATTACCTGTTTAGTTACAAAATAGAAATGACTTATTATTTTTATCTTGAAAGAATATGAAATTGTAACAGTACACTTATTAATCATATGAGGTGTTATTCAGGAAAATAAGTCAGTATATTTTGTTTTAGTAGAATACAGATTCGTTTTGATAATCTAGAACCCATAAGCTGTGTTGATGAACTACATATTTCTGCTAGAATTTGTTTTGAACCTCTTGCTGTAGAGAATTCTTTAGCAATCAGAATCAAGTTTCACATTATTTAAAATACTAAATAACATCACAAGGCCCTAGAGCTCGGATTTGTAAGACTTCTCTTCTTTTTTTTCTGTTTAAGAGAAAACACGAGTTCTCAACTGATCTACGCCGATCTGTAGAATCTTTTTTATATAAACAGTATATTTTATATAAACGTTATTGGTTCTATATCAATCTGACTGTTATTTCTTAACATGTTTCTTTAACCCTATATTCTTCTCTCTCTCTATTCAAGGTCTGAATGCTCCTCCATCTGCTTGTAGTCCTACATATTAAGTGTGGAGGCTCATTCCTTCGTTGGTATTTCTTCCTCCCACAAAGTCTGGTGACTCATCTTTCTGTATTGTCCATCATGCGATGTCTTAAGGCTCATCCCTTAGTTTGCAGACTGAGAGCGGTTTGGATGCTCATCCACCTGATACTTAAGGTCATCCTCTCTTAGCCTCTTTCTCATCCACTGAGTCACTTTTCCCTAATTTAACATGCTGTGTCGAGGCTTTTTGTGTCTAATGTTCTGTCAAGAACCATACCAACACAAACCATTCATAATTGCTTGTGAGAAGTTGGTCTAACATCTTATGCCCCTTTAAGACGACCTGCAGCAACAGTGCGTCACCAGCAACTCAGTATATTATCGGGCAGCGAGTGACTAGATTAAGATACAAATTGGAATGCTGTTATGTTCACAGACAAGTCGTGTTTCTGTATTTATAGTGATCATGATCGAGGTTCTAAAGAGTTTTCCATGGACAAGGGATAGGTAAATTGTTATTGATACCCCACCTTAAATGCAGTCAAGTGGGGTATCTGTTGTATAGTTGGATGATGATACAAAACCAAATTTTAGTTTAGCCGATCAAAAGTCCTCTATTAATGGTTTTAATAATGACAAATTCTATCTTCATTTTAAGTAAATTTTGTCTAGTTTACAGTGAAGCAATTGTAAATTAATTAGGTTATATATTTCTTTAGTTATTGCTTCCTGTTCAACAAAAGGCATGACACTTAAAAGAACATAAAACTTGGATTTTCTACTTTTCTGATGAAAATTGGCCCATTGTTTATATGAACTTTTTTGTTGTTAGGTCTGCTATCACTTCTATAAAAATTTCCCTTTACTACTTACGGAACACCCTGTATATATATATATATATATATATATATATATATATATATATAGGTCATATAGTCATACGGGGTAAGGTGCTTGCAGTAGGAGATCAAAGTTAAGCAACGTCGAGCATGGTTAGTACTTGGATGGGTGACCATCCACTAGGGAAAGCCATGCTACCTGAGTCTCTCCCCCCCAGGTATGTGAGGCCCATCAGGCTACTGAAGGCGCACACCAACTGGGCGTAGGTCATATAGTCATACGGGCTAAGGTGCTTGCAGTAGGAGATCAAAGTTAAGCAACGTCGAGCGTGGTTAGTACTTGGATGGGTGACCATCCACTAGGGAAAGCCATGCTACCTGAGTCTCTCCCCCCCAGGTATGTGAGGCCCATCAGGCTACTAAAGGCCCACACCAACTAGGCGTAGGACTGATGACCCTACCCAGTGTACTTAATCGGGAATCGGGATGTGGTCTACCAGGGTGTTAGTAACCTCCCTGAGATTCAGTCCATGGATGGTCTGTTTCGGAGAAAGAAATATAGGTCCTCGTGTGCCTGCTGCCTCCGAGCAGCCATAATCCATGAATCTAGACCGATTTGTCACTGTCCTTGAACCCGAGTGAGTCGGTGGGAAGGACACTGCCCGATTGGCCCCAAAGGGATCGGCTATGGGGCTATGGGTGGCCTGCTGCTGCACCATGGTAACCATGGTTCGTAGCAATGTGAGGTTGGTTAGTGACCCCCTCCAGGCTATCTGAGCTCTCGCAAGCCAATTCGTCTGTAAGGAGACTACCTCTAGGGACCAAAGATATTCATGATCTGTGTTGCCAACCAAAAAAAAAAAAAAATATATATATATATATATATATATATATATATATATATATATATTAAACTACCATCTTAATCTTTTAATTGAAGATTTCTTCCTCTATTAGATTTTTGAACCTGAAAATCTTATTCGTCGATTTCGATATTGACGAATAGATCAGGAGGAGGATCTTTTTGTTTTTTATTTTTAACTTCTAAATATCAATTTCCAATGTAAAGTAATAACCATATTAAATTATTTATTTATTCTGGGACATGTCCCATTAAAACAACTTTACAGAAAATGGATTCTGGTTTTTAGAGCCTCAGACCAAAGGAACAAGTGAATTAATGAATTCAAATAGTGAAATTATAATAAATTATTAGGTAACTTCTGATGTTAATAAAATTAATTATGGTTGAAACAAATAAGAAATAATAATCTTTTTTTTTTTATTGAAATTTACAACTGTATTATATGATAAATGCAACAAGTAATTATGAAACAAGTAACATGACATGTACAACATGAAGAGAAACTACCCATTGGTAGCACTCCAATTATATTTCTATATTAGAAGGTCCCGAGGCCATCTTCTTTTCAGATGCTTCAGGGGGTTATCAGGAATAGAAGAGGAAGCAAGGTTGGAAACAAGAGGGTTCGGATGGTTCAGAAGTTTATTATTCAAGGATAGGTATCTGGATTGAGCTAAATCGGAAACATATGGTACATTAAGGTCGTTATAGATGATTTTATTTGAGACAAAGTAGGGAATATTGAGAATTTTATGAAGGATTTTGGATTGTAGGGATTGGATACGAGAAGAATTTGATGGCTTAGTAGAGCCCAAAAGCTCGATGCCATAAGTCCAAATAGACCTTATTATAGTAATATATGTAAGTCTTTTGTAAATAGTTGGAAGTTTACAGCATTTGTCTAGTAAGTGCTGCAGCAATCGAAAACGTCGCCAGTTTCAGTCTGGTATGGGGGAAAATAATAATCTAAAAAAATAAATAATGTATATATTTATTCATAAAATTTTATGAAAAAAGATGTTTATTTACAATTATTATGATTTGTTGAAATAATGAAATTATAAATTGCTGGGATCGGCTATGTTTATTTATAACATCCCGACTTATTAACCAAGGATCTTTGGCTGAATACATTTAGCGATATCAAAATCATATTTATAATTGCATATGTAATGTTATTTTTACAAATTTTGATTGAAAATCTAAACATCTTTTTACAATTCTTTGGGAACTGGATTGATAGGAAATAATTAAATAGGCAGACTGTGAGTGATGGGTGAAAAAAGAGATGGATTGAATAATTATTGATTGATATTTTGTTAATAGAGCCAAGGATTATTTTAGTTCAACAACTTAAGTAAGAAACTTGATTGTTTATTATTATACTGAATATATTTAACAATGGATTACTTTTTTATTTAGAAGAATTTTATAGTTTTTATTTATTTACAGATTTATAATGTTGAATGATTTTACACATGGTTATGGATGCTTTATCAAACAAATTTTAATTGCTTAGTGAATTTTAAAACCATCAATACATTTTATAAAATTGACAAAACTAACATAGTTTTAAGTTGTAACAGTAGAAAAATAATCTATACAAAAAAATGATAATAAATATATGAAAATAATAACATAAAACAATAAATATTTTTAAATGAATAAAAATAAAGTAAATTAAATTAATAGATAATATAGTTTAAATTCCAACAGAGCTCTGCTTGATATTGAAACTATGCTGGAGGGAAAGCTAGTGAAATGAAATGAAATGAAATGAAAATATTTTTTTATTATCCTGGGACTGTTGTCCCTTTATGACAAATTACAGATACAGAATAAATGCCTGTGTGGCCATACATAAAATTAATTATTTACATTTATTATTAAGATCAAGATTTTGAAAAAATAATAAAACAAAAAATATAACAATCACACTAAAAACATTCTGATATGTATAATACAAACTATATAATAAAATAAAATAGCACAAGCAAAGAAAATCATTTCTGGGTGAACTTTAAAAGTTCTCTTATCTACATTTCGTGTGTAAGTAGTGGATGAAGAGTGGTACACCACGGATGTTGATAATACGGATGATCTGGATTACAGGGTATCCAGGATTACCGAAGTCATTAGAGATACCTCAGAGGAATCCCTCCTGCATTGAAAAGCGAGAGAACGAGACCTGTCCCATGGTGGAAGCCAAACTTAACCATTCTGAAGAGAGCTTTTCTAGGCCCAGTGGGCATATCAGAGGTGCAGTAGCGAAAGGTTTGCTGCACTTTGTGATGAGTAGAGGTATAGGGCTAGGGTATACCAAATGAGGTGCACTCACAGAAATGAAGATCATGGGACGAATTCATCCTGGAAAAGTCTGTGAAGAATCCCTAGGGTATCCCATATAGGGTGGCCCTTGGAACTGACCTCACAACAAGTCATTGCAGCCCTGAGGCAAGGAGGCACTCAGGCTGCCACCCAGGAGGAAACAGCAAAGACGTTTATAAAAGAGACATGTCCCAGGATTAATCCATCACGGGATGATAATAGCTATGCATTTGTGGGATGAGCCACGGTATACTTGCCTGGGATGGACCTGTGACCATCATGGGACATTTGGGAGCTCTGTAGTATCGTGAAAAGGCAGAAGAATAGCTGGGCCTCTGGTTTTGATGCAATAGATGCGGTAATGCTTAAGAAAAGTATTTTCTAAGTAGATAATAGGATGCTTGCAATTCTCAACGACTGCAGAGATAGGGGATACTTTCTAGGAAGCAGGAAAATTTCCAATGTCAGATTCTCCTACAAGGAAGGAGACAAGGACAAGCAACTTGCCAAATCATACAGGCCTGTTTTTCTCATCTCTGTAATGAGCAAAGTATTGGAAAATCTGGTGGTCTTGACCCTTCGGCCATTCTTATCAAGATCACAGGAAAGCCATCCATATCGCAGGAAAGCAATATGGACCCACTAAAGGCCAAGTAGTTTCGGGTATCCTGATATATGCGTCCCCAATCTGGAACCTAAACTCGTTGAAAGGAAGCTCGTTGAACTAAACTCCTGAGAGAGATAGGGATATATATGCTGACAGACAGCTTGTCAGGGGTGCCCATCCACCCAAGGTCAATGGCACATGAATTTCTCCCTTCCCTCCCTCCCAAGATATTTTGTTTACTCTTCTCTTCTTAAAAGTGCCAGCAATAGTATAATATAGAATTTTAAAACCGTTGATCAAATACAAATACACTATTTGCAGTCTATTCCATGTTTTCAAATTGTCATGTGGTTTGAAACTTTTCATTTCGAAAATTCATGAGCTTGTCAATATGTACCCCCCTTAATAATTGAAAACCTCTTCATAATGTGCCCCCTCAAAAATTTGATTGAGCCACCTTCTTGGTACTCCCTGGATTATGTTCCCGCACCTAATGATCAGAGAGAATTTCTCGAATTATAGGGAATTCGCTCACAGGTGGAAGAATACTATAGGACTAAAACATTTTAATCTAGAAAGAAGGACTTTAGAACATCTGTAGCTGTTTAGAGAGGTTTCAGGTGGAAGAATGAGGAAGAACTGAGAAAAGGAGTGGTGCGGGCTTGTGTACAGCTCGTTCATTTTGTTTATGTATAAATATTTATGTATAAATAGTATACAACAATTATTTGTTATAATGACTAAATATTATATGTATATATATATATATATATATATATATATATATATATATATATATATATATATATATATATGAATTCAGGATTGTTATTCTGGAGTGCTAAGTGGAATTAGCCCCTGACAGATGTTTGAATCAATAACTTATGAGAGTTTTTATTAAGGATAATAAAAAATTATCAAGTGATTCATTCTTTAATTGTTCATTTTAATATAAACAATGTGCATGTGTGTGTAAAAGATAGTTATCTCTCTAATTATATTTATCTCTCTAGAATTATATTTGTATTCTGTATTTGTAACTATTTTCAACTTTTCTTTTAGATTTTTCAAATTGTTAACACTGATAAATCTTTTTTAGAAAATGCTTCCTAATCATCAACTGGTAGCAGCAGCTCCCATGAATTATTCTACTGTTCAAAACTCTGCATATATTAATGGAAAGTGGATCAATGCCTCTAAAGGTCAGTTTTTTAAAGTTTTTAATCCTGCTAATGGACAATGTATCGCTGATGTTCCCAACTTAGGAGTGGAAGATGTATCAGAGGCTATTGATGTTGCCGAGAAGGCATTCCAGTCATGGAGTAATAAACCTGGAAAAGTAAGTTTTTTTGGTTTATTATTCCTATAGCTTATTCTTTGATCTATAAGATGTTATTTTTTAATTTTAATGATAAAAAATTTTAATTTTTTATTTAATTTTTAATTTAATTTTTTAAATTTTAATTTATTTTTAGGAAAGAAGTCAGTTTCTTCGAAAATGGTTTAATGTAATTACTGAAAACAGTGAATCAATTGCTAAAATTTTAAGTGATGAAAGTGGAAAGCCTTTCAGTGAAGCATTAGGTGAAGTACAATATGGAAATTCTTTTGTTGAATGGTTTTCAGAAGAGGCAAGGAGAGTTAATGTAAGCACAATTATTTCTGTTCTAAATGAAATACATTGGTGGTCATAGAAACCGGTGCACCTTGAATTTTGTTGTTATTTCTTTCCCACCAGAAAAATATTTGCAATTCCCCCCCCCAATATAATGTAACATATTCTGTTTGTAGGAGACCATATTTAAAGGGAAAAAATCAACAAAATTTCATTAAAATAAGTCCGCAAGATAAAATAAAGCAAATGAACACTCTTTTAAACAAAAATAAAACGCATGTAATTCTTTTTTAATTATGAAATCTGAGTCACTTGTACCTAGTGTTGCCTCCCATTTCTTGAATAACAGCCTGCACTCTCGTAGGCATATTGCGAATAAGGTTGGTTACCTGATCTTGAATCTGATCCCATTCACGTACTTGGAGGTCGCATGGAGGGTTCTGTTGTCAACCGATGGATGTCTCAAGCGGGTCCCGAAGAGGTTTAATAGGATTGAAGTCTAGACTGCTAGCTAGTTGCTCCAAGGTGCGGACACTAACCACTGCTAGGTGGTTAGTGTCCCATACAATATGGTCCTGAGCATACAAGATGGTCCTACGACTGAGCATTATTCTGCATAAAAAGGAAATGAAGGGGGATAAACGGGCCAAAAGATACCAAATATTCCTTTAGGGTATTGGTGATGTAAATGTGTGCACTAAGCATCAGCCATCAGAGCACATGGAGGTCTGTCCTTGACTCTAAACATATTCCACCCCAAACCTCCACCGAACCTCCTCTAAACTGCAGTCTCCCCACAATATTGCATTGAGTCTATTGCTTACTTGGTCTTCTCCACACTTGAACTCGTCCGTCTGTACCATGAAAGACTCGTCAGGAACCTGAACAGAGGCCAAATCATGGTTTGTCCAGGCAGTGTGTTCACCACAAAAGTAAAGGCGAGCTGGTTGGTGTGCTGCGGTGAGTAAAGAGCTGGATACAGGAATCGCTAGTGTGCAGGTTGAGTTCAGCAAGCTTCCTCCGTACTGTGTGCTTACTGGCATCCGCACCTTGAGCAATACGTAGTCAATGAGAAGTCTTAATTGAAGTCTGAAAGCGTTCTAAGAGTCTGCATAGGATTGAAGCTGTAATCAGCTGGATGTATCACTCTTGGATGGCCTGACTGAGGCTTCTTGTCTCCCGGTACCTCTGGACTGCCCATCAAACCACTGTTTCAGGCAGGCTGTAGACTCAGGCTGTGTATCGCTAGCTTCGGTCATTCTCAATCAATGCAGTAATCTACATGACTTCCATGGTATCCAAAACCATTTTTCATTCTTAAAAATGTTTGATACAAATGAAATATTGTTTTCAAGAAAAAAAAAACACAATAGCAAAACCAATGCGATTGAACAGGCAACTGGAGACAGACTAATATGAAGTCTACAGTAACTTAATACTTTTATCATTGATTCTATGGAGAATTATGAAATTTTCTTGAAAGGATTGATGTATGGTAATCCCTTTTCTTTCTTTTTCTTTCTCTACCTCCTTTGTGCCTTTCAGCGTGGAGGTGCCTCGATCCATACATCCCAAGCATTTCGGTCCTGAGCTAGAGCGCTCATATCCCTTATCCTCATACCTCTTTTCTGCCCGATCTGGGAGATGTACTCCATCCACGACAATCTGGGTCTTCCTTTTGGGCGCTTTCCTTCAGGTCTCGCCTCCATGAATTTTCGTGGGTCACGGTCTTCATTCATTCGGCTTACATGCCCAAACCATCTCAGCTGCCTCTTTTCTATTGAATCCTTTAGTGAGACAGTGCCTAGGTCGTCTCTTGTTTTTTCATTCCTGATCTGTTCTCTCCTGGTTCTGCCGGCTACCCTCCGAAGATATTTCATTTCACTAGCGGTAACTCTGCTAAGTTGTTTGGTTAATGGGACCCAGCTTTAACCTCCATATATAAGGGTTAGTAGATATACCGCTTTAAAACTATGCATTTTTACATTCCTCTCTACCTCCCTTTTCCCAATGACTGTATTGCATAAGCTGTAATACACATCATTGGCCTTTGTAGATAATAGATATTTTGAAAAATAATTTTTATTATATTTCACTTTCTTTTTTTTTTTTTTTTTCACTTCTTTATTTGGTAGTCAGGGAATTTGACTGAAGTACTCTTATATATACCCTGTATACTTCTTAAAACCCAATGAATCCTAATGTCCTCTCTCAGTTCCCTCTCTTTAATTATGGCTGCCTCATATACTGTGGACTGTCTCATGGATATGAGATAAAACTAAAAAAAACTATTGAATTATTTTATTAGATTTATCTTCATAGTCCCCAGATACTCCCAGATCTCCAGTTGTATATCAAATTAAAATGGTTTTATTCAATTTTCAACTCCAATATTTCCTTAGTCTATATATTCCAATTGATTAAAACCAAAAAGCTGTCTTACATTCTTAATTTGTTAATTAATTCTGTATCTTGATTCACTTGGCATCAAGATTTAGCCAATACATTATTTACAATACAAATGGGATTAAGAATATTTATTACAACTTGAATAAGATCGTTAACTAAAAGGAAGGATAATTGACTTGATTTTGATATTGAAGAATGCTAGACTTCAATCAATTTTCGAAGATTCTAAGTTAATTATATCAAGCCATTTATCTGAGTTCTGGCTATAGTGGATAGATTATAATGGTGCAGTCAATATATTATGCGAATTGGTCAGGAAGGTAGAATTTATGAGGAGTATGAAAGAATAAATTGGTATTAAAATATTCTGTAAGATTACATTTTTTACAAGTATTGAATACTATTTTTCATGGAAAATTAGTTTTTGTGTTATTTATGAGTGCAATGATTTATAATGTTGCAATGTTGCCTTTCATACTGGACAGTGTGCCTATTAAGGACACGTATAAAATAATAGCAACACTGTACAGTATTACCTTCTGGACATAATTTGTGCCTTTTTAGTCTATTATGCAATAGGTATGATAAAATTTAACTAACCATTTATAAAAAAAAAAATTGGTGACTTTTTTTAAATTAACAGTCAGTTGAAAATATTATTCAATAAATAATAAAAAAATCTATTTGGGGGTCATTAAAATTTAATTTTGTCTTTATTTCAGGGAGAAATTTTATCTTCTCCAGTATCAACAAGAGAGTTAATGCACATCAAGCAACCAGTAGGAGTTGCAGCTTTGATAACACCTGTAAGTTTAGTTTTAGATAGTATACAATTAAGTTTTTTGTGATTCATCTTTATTTAGGTTATCCATGTTAGTTGAGCTATTGAACTGTTTTTAATAATTAATCAATCATTGATTTAATCTTGGACCACTGTTAATCCTAAGGAAACAATAAAGTAATAAAATTCTTAATAAATTTTAGTTAATTACATTATAAAACTCAAAATTGTAAGGTTTTGCTTCAATATATGTGTATTTAGCTAGTTTCTATAATTCATAGTTCCCTATAATTCATATAAAATTAATGTAATTTGGTCCCCTCGATAATTCTTATTTATTTTCATCTTCCTAGAATTTTAAACATCCTATATTTTGAATTTTCTTGCACGAATCTCACCACTATGTAGGGGAGTGTCCCACAGATGGCGGATGTGGGGTTGGCAGTTGGAAATTCTCATCAGTTCCAACCCTAAAGCTACAAAAAGATATCGACTGCATCATCAGATGGGCAGAAATAAATTAGCTGAAGCTGAACACGGAAAAAACTAAGGCTATTCTCATCGGTTCCAGGCATCTCATTAGTACCCTTCCTTATTCTCCTCTACCTTAATAACTGCCCCATCCATTTTTTCTCAACAGTAAAAAATCTAGGTGTAATCTTTGATTAGAATCTTTCCTGTAATAACTATATTTCCCAGATTCCATGATTCTATTCCTCAAAAAACCAGACAGCTCCTTGTAATCTCCCTCGTTTTCCCTCACTTCGACTATGGTTGCTTGGTGTATGGAATGGCTGTTTGAAAGACTGGAGGTGAAATAGAAGAGAATTATGAACTGTTTTATAAGATACATCTTTGAAATTCCTAGGCGTTCTTATGTTTCTTACTGGTACACCGAGTTGAAGTGGCTCTGTCCTACCTCCCGACGACAATTCCTTCTAGGTGTTTTCCTTTTCCAGCTCCTAAGAACCAAAAATCCTCCCTACATCATATAACTCCTCACTCTATAGTCCTCTATCCACTCTCTTAATACCAGATCTCAATCCATTGATTCATTTATCCCTTCTCATATAACTACATCCTTCATCATACCTCCTTCTGAAATTCTTTACCTATCACCATACAACAATCCTAATCCAAAAATTCCTTCAAACAACTCTTATTTTTATTTAAATATTGTTATCCAAAATATTATTATCCACCGCCTTCTTAAATTTCAAACTTCTCTACCTATGTAATACTTATTTGATTCTGTAATTACAACTGCTCACTAACAATTAATCAACAACTTCCACTTGATTTTATGTAATTTTTTCTTTTTTTCTTTTTATACATGTAAACCATAGTGTTACTTTGTTCACTGTATTTTCAAAGTATAATTGCAATAAAAATTTAAATTAACATTCAAATGACAAGAACCTCTTTGTATTTTGTCAAGCCAGACTAATGGACCAATGTTTTGTACCATGTTATTATTATTCTTTGTAGACTTTAGTCTCAGAATAAAATTATTTTTTCATTCATTGATTCAGAGTAAAATTTTATATTTTTAATTACTTTATTAAATTATTTAACCATTTATCAAAATCCTTTCTTGAATTCATGTGAAGCGGGTGAGAATTGAACCAATATAACTGGCCATAATGCTGAAGGTTCCTTATTCCACCTTGTAGATTTATTGACCCAATATTTACTTTGTAGACGCTTGTTGGATGTACCACTTATGCATTTATTTTCCTTTTTTTTAGTGGAACTTTCCTTTAGCTATGATTACTCGTAAAGCAGGAGCTGCTTTAGCTGCTGGTTGTACTTGTGTCATTAAACCTGCAGAAGATACACCACTTACAGCTTTAATTTTAATGGAATGTGCTGAAAAAGCAGGTTTGTTGTTAGTAAGTTATATTAGAATTAAATTATAATGTGAAATTCACTTGAACTTTTTTGATTAATTTGTTCTAAATCAATCGATTACCATGATAAATTTTGGCCTCCCTTCCCCGATAAGGGATTTGATTATGTTCAGAGTGTTTGATATTTTCTGCCTTAAATGAAATACTTAGGATATTCATACTTAAACATTAGAAACTCATAAATAAATTATATTATTTACTTATTGATAATCTCAATAATTAATTTATCCAATCATTCCTTCTTTTATTTAGGTATTCCTGCTGGAGTTCTTAATGTTGTTCCATGTGATCGTAACAATGCTGCTAGTGTTGGCCAGTTACTATGTGAAAATCCTAAAGTAGGGGTCATAACTTTTACAGGTAAGATTTTATTTAATATTTAGGCATATTTTTTTTCTTCAAAATACCTACATGTACTTATATTTAACTTTAAAACATCAAATAATATGAAAATGTTTGTTTGAATATTTCCATTATTATATTGAGCTTATTTTTTGTTACCATCTCTATGGGGTCACATATGGAACATCCTATTATTTTTAAAGAGTTAGCACATATTGCATTCAAAATCTTTCATCTCAACTTCAGGGATCAATTTTTCTCTTTTCCGTATCTCAATCATATAACAGCCATTCTATAAATGTTTGTTTCTTATGCTTTTTATTTTTATAAGAAACATAGCTGATAACAGGAGTACTCAGCATTGTCAATCCACACCAAATATTCGTATCATTGATTTTTTTTTAACACACTTTATGGATCCTTTTAACAATTCAGGTGTATAATCTATTAAGCATGTCACTGTTATATTTCTGTATTTTTGAGCTTTATTTTGTCTTATTTTTCTTTTCTTTTTTTTTGGTGTAGATATGGTTGGCCGTGATATAATATGAGAAGGAGTTGATCGGGGGATGCGCTCAAATAAATGCTAAAGTTTTAAAAAATATTGTTTTTAATTATTACGCCGACATTTCGATCCTTCGATTGCAGGTCTTCATCAGGGCGTGGCATGTGGTAGTTGATAGACTTGCCAAAACTGCTTCCTGCAGTGCCACATGCCATGCTCTGATGAAGACCTACAAGGTGGGTCGAAACGTCAGCGTAATAATTAAAAATAATATTTTTTAAAATTTAGTATTTATTTGACTGCACTCCCCGAACCAACTTCTTCTCATTTTCTTTTTTTTATTTTATGGTGCACATGCTGCTTTTTAATATTTGTGCAATATTGTATGTTTTTTAATTTCATTTTTATTCCTATAATTACATTTTACAATTATAAGTATTATTTTAATATCAATAATGATAGTAAGTAAAGGTGACTTTACTCTGAGGAAACCAGTAGCAAGAAAACAATTCATTTGTGTCTTGACAGCATGCTGCAGGTTCCTATACCTTTTACATTAGAGGCAATGCCACATGCAGTTATGCATCTGTTTCCTTTTGCAAGTTACCCATTAGTAATGGGTGCAGTTAACTGTCACATGTTACTTGTTAATAAGTGTTAGGGTACGGATAAATAAGTTAAATTTTTACTTGTATACTCCCCAAAAAAGCATTAATGGCATAAACTCCTTTAATTTTCTGCCACATCATTAAATACTCATAGATAGTATAGTCATATTGAAACGTTTTTGGTTTATTATTTTGATTGTATTATCAAGCCCTTAATTTAATTACCCAAAAGATTTTTTTTTTACTTTCTTAATTCTTAACTAAGGATGGTTTCTATTACTAAGAACTATTCAATTGTAATAATAAATGTTAATTGAATAATATATAGCTGAATATATTGAATTTAAATAGTTTGCAATTTAAGTTTTTTGTTTATTCGTATATATTCATTCTTACATGTTTGTTAAATTTTATTTAAAATTTCTGGAAATTATTCATATTATTATCTGTTTTAATAAATAAAAGGTATTCTTTATTTGAATTACATATAATGAATTCAACTACATAGACCATTTTATTATTTCTTCCCACATTTTTTTTTTACCTATCAGGGACATAAAACGATATGGAAACAGATGAAGCTACATGTTCTTCCAGGTAACTGGAAGTTGTTAAAAGAATTTGGATTAAAAATGCGGAAAAACGTGACTGCGAACTAGAAGATGTTTTACAAATTCATTAAGGGAATTAGAAAATAATGGTAATAACCTCTGAAAAGAAACCATGGATCATTACATTATTTGATAGAACAAACACATAATAGTCAGATGAACAGGATATGCAATTTTTTGGGATGTGGTGGAGAAGGAGAGTACACGGTAAGGTTGTCTGGCCAACAGACTATCATGATATGATTACCATAGAATCATATCATATCTGGAAGTTTACCTCCTACCCTTTACGAAAAAAGTGTTTGTGTTCATGCGAGTGCGAGTGTTCACCTCTCCTTAGCTGGTATCAGTATATTTGATACCAGCTAAGGTATATAAGGTATATGAATACTCCTTATTCAGTCTTATATTTATTTCCTTTAATCTTCCCCCACAAAGTCTGGAGACTCACATTGGGAACATTATAACTGTGAGAATGACAAATGTAGTGAGAGCAGTGGCTGCTTGAATCAGAAGAAATCCCATTCGAAAACAACAAATCATGTCTTGGGAAATGGGAATCTCTCTCAGATCAATGTCTCGCATAGTAAAAAGTGACCTTAGGATGGGTGCATTTTGAAGAATGACAGGACAAAGGCTAACCACTTCCCTAAAAAAATTAGAGTGGATAGATGCAAAGTGCTCCTTGGCTGTTACACCAATGGTCTTCATCGAAAGATTTTGTTTAGCGATGAGACAATTTTTACAATTGAAGAAAAATTTAATTGCCAAAATGATCATGTGTACTCACACAGCTCTAAAAAAGCCCATAAAGTCATTGAAAGAGTGGAAAGAGGTCATCACTCTTCCTCATTGATGGTTTGGTGGGGAGTTTGCTTTGATGGCACCACAAAGCTCCATTTTTGTGAAAAAGGAGTTAAAACAGCCTCTAAAAGCTATCAGGACGATATTTTGGAACCTGTTGTCAAGTCTCTAAATGGTACTCTGTTTGTTGGAAGTCATTGGGTTTTTCAGCAGAAATCTTTTAACAATAACCAATTTTTAAAATGCATAATTGGTAATTGGTTGACTGTCGTGGATAATGAAGAGAAGAATAGTTGGGGTGGTCAGTCAAAAAGGAATAATTTTTATAGGAATAATTTTTATAAGGAATAATTTAACAGGAAAAGGAAAAGTCCTTTTTGACTGACCACCCCAACTATTCTTCTCTTCAATTTTTAAAATGATTTATATGGAATCCTGCTTAGGTGTTGTGTTTTAAACATTGGACTTAAATTCATCAAACTTTTTCCAATTAATAACTGAGAATTATGATTTTGTCTCTAGGTTCTACTGCTGTTGGTAAACTATTATACAAGCAATGTTCAGGAAGTGTTAAAAGAATTGCCTTAGAATTGGGTGGTAATGCTCCTTTCATTGTATTCAAAAGTGCTGATTTGACAAAAGCTGTGTTAGGCGCGGTTGGTGCAAAGTTCAGAAACTGTGGACAGGTATTTATAATAATATCTTAGCAATTTTGTTTACATTTTAAATTAGGATTTATGGACTAGGGTAAAGGCACTTATTATTGACATATTACTAATTATTGACTCTTGTAACTTAAATTTGATAAAATAAGCATCTAGATTCATCTAAGATTTTAAACTTGGTGCCCTTTCAAAGACAGATTAATATGGCACCTTGTTTAAAATCCTACAGGAACCTAAATTTAAGTTATAAGTGTCAATAATTGGTAATATGTTAATAATAGGCGCCTTTACCCTATATGTTTCAAATTATTCTTTTATTTTTTAAGTATTTTTATTATTAATTCTTAGTTACTTTCATATTGATTTAACCTACAGTAATCAGCAAATAGATCTGCCAGACCTCATAAGTGGCTCTGGTGAATGGTAGTGAAATTTCTTGTGTCTACTTTTCTTCTTCCTTCAGAAACATCTTAGCATGAAGATGTTTCTTATTTCTTCAGTAAAGTTTGGCTTAATCTACTTATGAATTCAGAAGCAAAAGGAACATTCTTAACCCATTCAAGCCAACCTGATGACTTTTTTACTTTCTCGGTATTCCCGAATGTACAGGTACCCATTGAGTTCTAACATTATGAAGAGTGTTTAGTATAACTTCATATTCCTCTAACACTGTTGATTAAAATATGACTCCACAATATACTAATTACCATCTGGCTATCAGTGTAAAATGTAATTTATCTATTAAACAACCCTTCAAAAATTAAGCATTAAATGCCATAGCTATTCACACAAAGTTAATTGTGCATTTATTCACCATGGTAAAAGCACTGTTGGTCTCTATTTACTTTTCCTACCAGCATTTTTGTTTTAAATAATGTGATTGTTTTATTATCACTTCCTCCAGATGCACACAACCCTGTGGGAAAGAAACATCCTCCATAGTTTTTTATGGCTCTCACCTCTATTCTGGTTAAAATAGCCTCCTCAAGATCCCACTTTATGATTTTATTGCTAGAATTCTATCGATCTGTTGACTAGCAGAAATCTCAGGATTGTTAATTAATTATGATTGTATTTGGACTTTCTAAATGTCAGCAAAAGATATTTGTATTGTATTTGTATGCATCTCTGCAATTTAGCTTGAGCTCTCTCTACCTTTAGCTTGACTACTTTCAACTTGATCATCCTCCATTAAAGATAGTCTACAGCAGCTTAATTTAGAGAAAGGAAGAAAAAGGAATGGAAAGGATATATCACAAATTGTATGATAATAAAGCATGGCCAGTCTGCAGTGAGAGGAGAATACTCCTGAACATGTCTGTCTTTCTTTATCTCCTGTCTAACTGACCAATTTATCCCTTTAGTAGCTGCAATGAAGTGGTCAACCTTGTTAGATGTTCTGAAGTGGCATTGGTTTTAATCTAGCTTGGGAGAGGGTTTACTTTTATTTTATGACGTATCCTTTGGAAAATGAGTAAATTAAAATTTTCACTTTCTACCTCCACTAGTTTGCTGACTCGTAGTTTAACCTTTTTTTTCTGCCTTATTGGGAGTAAATAAAACCATTACGCAATGAACCATAAAGTTGTAAACTTAGTGTGTAGCCTATGTAAAATCATTATTAATATCATTATGACTTATGTTAATTGACTCCTATAGTTTTGTTTTATTTTATGTAATTTACATAATCTTTCATATACAATCACTAAAATTTTGCTCATCTGAGCAACATATACATAATTAAACCAAAACATACAGCCTATTAATTTATTAACTATTTAATGTATTTTTCATTACAGACCTGTGTTAGTCCTAATAGATTTTTGATTGAAAATGACATATTTGATGAATTTGTCAATTCAATTACAAGCTATATCAAAGAAAATATTACATTTGATTCAAAATCTACTGGTAAAATGCAGATCGGGCCTCTGATTAACAAAGCTCAGTTAGAAAAGGTATGCAGTTTTTTTTATGTTTCATTAAAACAAATTTTGTTTATATATGCAATAAGAATATGATATTTTACTAAAGTGAAAGATATCCGAACTTACAGGAATTATTCACTGAAAAAGGTGATAGAATGATAGGTATTAGTTCAGAAGTACTACTTCAAGTTGGCTGCTGAAAACAAGATCACACTTCAGATGGAATTCCAAAAGCATGTCTCTGAAACTAAAAAAGATCTATATCCACTGACCAGGATACCTGCCTAGTAAGGTCCCAACCTAGACTGAGAAATCTCCCCTTGGGGGAATGGTATGTTTATCTCCGGTGCTAACAGAAGTTGACATTCATTATCTAATTAAAGCAGTAATAATTTTATTAACCACTGATAATTCCAATAAACCTTACATTGTGTATAATGTAATCTAACCTAAACATTTTGTATAAGTAGAGAACACCTGTTAGTTTATATGAACATGTTTGTTAGAACCCTGCTACTTTTGCTATTTCTCTGAATTCCATCTTCAGTGTGATCGATGTGGTGTTGTGCCCACCTGCCATATTTGTGTAGGATTTGGAACCTTAATCAAATTCAATAGTGATGGGGCCATATAGTCGGAGCTATGATTCTGTCACTGTGACTGGGTCGGAGGTGGTGATCACAGTGACAGTCACTGTAGGCGCTGTGAAATCACTGTACTCCAACAGTGACGGTCACTGTAGTAACTGTGAAATCACTGCGCTCTACAGGGACAGTCACTGTTGGCGCTGTGAACAGTGTGGACAGCTCTTGCATCAGCGGTCTGGGGACTGTTTATTTGTAAAATGTTAAGTACACTTGTGCCATAATTTATTTAATTAATGAATTAAAAGAATAATTATTTTTAAATAATGGTTATTCGTCAAATTTTATTATACATACATCTTGAACTTTGTATGACAAACATTCATTGCAATAAAGCCATATATTTTTTAATGAGTTATTTCTGAAGTAATTAACGAAAAGTTTTTCTTTCAGTATTTTATTTATTACTTAACCCGCTGGCCCATGTGAACAATTCGCAAAATATATTGTTTAGTGAAGGAAAAGCATAATAATATAAGTAGATCTTATTACAATATTGCATTTAACATAATAGATCAAAATATTTGCACAAATTACTTTTCTAGGGCCAATTTATAAATGCTGAATATTACCATTCATAATAAAAAAGGCCTTGAACGGGAGATTGTTGTTATTAAAAAATAAAAAACGTACTAACAAAAAAAAAAGCCTTTAAAAACTATTTTATTTTTAAGAACTATTTCACTACTTTATTTATTACTTAATTACCGTTTAATTTTTAAATAAATTATTTTTCAAAAACGTAAAATAATTATTTCCGAAATAACTCCAGTTCTGTAGTAAGTTCAAAATCCATGAGTAGTGAAAATATATAATAGTGTTAAATTACGACTACACTCTAACCAGTAAATTACAGTGACCTTTTTCTGTGATCTTTTTACCCAATGTACACAGCATATCAAACTTTTTTTCTATAATGCATTCTACTCATCACTTTCAAACGCAATGTGAATTAAGACTGTACTAAGACAAAATTGAGGTGAACCTCATCCTTTCCGTTTTTACTTTCACTTACCTATATATGTAATATATAGTAAGGGTAAGTATTGCGATCGTGAAAATTTTTGAATCTGAGTTTTCAACGGAAATACACGTTTTCCACGAGTCCAAAAAACAAACTCCCGAAAAATGGTCTGTGTGTATGTGAACAGTCTAGCTCAAAAACCAAAAGTCGTATGAAACTGATATTACTTAATTAAGATTGGTATATGCCTTAGATGTGGCAGCAACGTTTTCCTTAAAATCGGCTAACCGGAAGTGCCACTTTATATCAATGATGAAACACATTTTTACAATTTTCTCAAAAACGGCTCAAATGATTTTGATTAAGCTCGGTGTATCACTGTATAATTAAGTGGTCTTTAATATCATTTAGGTCTTATCCCCATTGATGTCACTTTACAGGGCTTAAATGCCCAATGTTCATATACGTCTTCCTCTAAAGTACCTTTAATATGATTTATTTTAAATAATTAACAATCTCTCATTATTAAGAGTTACGAAAAAATGCTAAATATAACTTGTTAAAAAATTTGAAAGAATTTGATAATTGAATAAAGGAGAAAAAAATAAAAATGCTTATCCAGGTCGTAAATGAATCTCCGGAAATAATAGTCAGAAGGTATACGTTTAATATGCCTTTGGAAAGCGGAGAATTTTAGAAAAAACAATATTTAATGTAGAAGTCGTAAAAAGTAATGGAAAGTGAAGAAAAAAATATAAATAATAATTTCTGAAGACTATTATTATTTAGTGGATCACGTGTTTTCAAGGAAATAAAATGAATAATTGGTAAATGGTTGACTGTCGTGGATAATGAAGAGAAGAATAGTTGGGATGGTCAGTCAAAAAAGAAGGCAAAAATAAATGATAACATTTATTTTTACATATGCCGACGTTTCGACCTGAAGTTCAGGCCTTCATCTGGGCTAAGAAAATAACCAGATAACAAGGTATGAGAAACATAAGTAGTGATGATAAAAAAAAAAATAAAATAAAATAAATAATTAAGAAATTACAAAAAAAAAAACAATATCATTTTACTTTATATTTATTTATTTTATTTTTATTATTTTATTTTATTTATTTATTTATTTTTTTTTTTTTGTAATTTCCTATTTATTTATTTTATTTTTTATTTTAAATTTTTTTTTTTTACCATCACTACTTATGTTTCTCATACCTTGTTATCTGGTTATTTTCGTAGCCCTGATGAAGGCCTGAACTTCAGGTCAAAACGTCGGCGTATGTAAAAATAAATATTATCATTTATTTTGCCTTCTTTTTTGACTGACCATCCCAACTATTCTTCTCTTCGGAATGAAATGAAATTTACTAACTAAATGTAAACTTTTGAAAGTTTAAAAAAAAGTATTTAAAATCCACCTAATCAAGGCAATGACATTGTTTAAAAAACTATTTCATTGTAGCATTCCAGACACAGCACTGAGAATAGCACTTCAATTGTGATAAGTGTTGTGAAATCACACTTCTTATCACTGCTCTCCAACAGTAACAGTCACTGTGCTCCAACAGTGACGGTCACTGTTGGAGCTGTGAAATCACTGTGCTCCAACAGTGACTGACAATCACTGTAGTCACTGTGAAATCACTGTGCTCCCAACAGTGACGGTCACTGTAGGCGCTGAGAAATCACAGCTTTGATCACTCCACTCTATCACTTCTTTTTCGCTTCAGTGATCTGGGCATTGTTGACTTAATTTATTTAATAAATGAATTAAAGGAATAATCATGAAATAATTATTTCTAAAATAATAGTTATTCGTCAAATTTCATTAAAAATACTTTTTGAACTTTGATGAATTGAACATTCATTGCCATATATTTCTGAATGAGTCATGTCTGAAATAATTAACAGAAAATTTTTCATTTAACTGTTGAAATATAGATAAGAAATTAATTAAAAATTAAATAAATTCAAATATTCTCTGTATACAAAAACCAAGGGATCCCAGAGATATTTTCCCCCATCAAATATAAAATTTATCACAAGAAAAAAATTTTTTTTATTTCAATATAATTTTAAACACGTAAACTATGATTTCACAGTGACGCTTTCGCCAAGGAGCGATTATATACTTATCACCAAAAAAAATTCACTGTAGTGACAAATCACTGTGATTTGTCGGAGCTGTGACAGAAAATCTCTGACAGACCCCATCACTAATTCTCAACCCTATGGTTATAGCCTACAGGGTGTGTCATTCAGGAATTGGGGGAAAATCAGGAATATGTCAGAAATTCCATACAGCCAAGAAAAGTAAATTTTTGCAAAGTTGGCTAAGTCATCGTTTGTCCTAAACTTAAATATCTTCTTTCAATTTTCATAAACTATGGAATAATTAATTTTGGTATTTATGTTTTATTCTAATTATCACCTATGTTTTCATTGTTAGGATCATTATGTTTAATTAAATTAATTGCTAATTGTTGCTATGATAATTAGAAATTCTTTCATTGGCAGTTCCGGTAATATACACTACTACTATATTTATTTTTATTGGTTTTTTAGTTAAATTCAGTAATTTCTGGAAAACCGTATAATTTCCTTTTAAACGTGAACTGATAGTGGAAATGAAAAAGTTAAGCACTTAAATAAAACATAAGTGCATTATTACATTATTAAAATATTTTGCAATATTTTTGACTATTTTTTTAATATTCATCCTTTAACTGTTAATACAGTTTTTGTTTTATTTATCAACTTAGTCAGTTATTTTCTTACTCATGAATTAGCAAATAAAATGTATTAAAATTTATTTATCATAAATTCTAAAGCTTTAGATACGTGTAAATTAAAAAAAACTAGGAAAAATTTCCAGTAGAAATTGATTTATTATAGTGTATGTATACAAATGTCACTAAGCTATAATTTTTGGAAAACTCTTGGAAAAGTCAGTAATTTTAATTATCCAAATTAATAGACACCTTGAGCCTGCTATGTAGGAATTTCTCTAACTTATTCTCAGCTCTTGAAATTATATTAAAAATATCCGACTTACTTAAACTATACAAACATTTTTCTGACTGAAATTTCAAAAGGATAATTGTCAATTATAGATCAAACTTTATAATGCTAAAATAATAATAAAAGTAAATAATGCCTTCAATTTCTGGGCTGATCAACTCCCAATCTTGCCACAAAATACAAAATACTTGCTTAGTTAACTAATCTAAATTATAAGTGGATATGTTGTAAATTATGTATGTTAACATATACATACATAAGTAAACAGGACAGCAACCTGTTACTGAATGAAAATTGGTTTATAGCTCATTAAATTCTGAGGATATAGTGTCCTGCTTCAAAATCCTCTAGTCTAGCGGTGTCGGTTTGATTCCAGCCTGGAGAGGTTGAAATTTATTTCATGGTAGACCCATAGAATGAATATCGTCCTTCTCACTCTGGTTAGAATTGATTTGATTCTACTTCTAGAACAACTCCTCCTCCCTCCCCCCTTCTTCTTTATGCCGTAAATGAAAAGGTAAGGGTAAACAGAAAAAAAAGCTAGTTCGATTCCTTCAATCATCCTTTTATACAGTGTGGACATCCATGAACTTATTGATGATCTCACATTCTTGGCTATTGCTTAGCTTATTACAAATAATACAAAGATATCTTTTCTATTTTTATTCGATTTTTTATTAATGGAGTATAACTTTAGTTAATAACCACAGAATAATCATATTACTTAATGTGTTTGTATTTATTATTGTAGGTAGACAATATCGTGCAAGATGCTATTAAAAAGGGAGCCAAAGTTCATATTGGTGGGAAAAAAGCCTCTGATGTTGGTGAACTTTTTTATGAGCCTACAGTTTTGACTAATGTTACTCCAGATATGATTTGTTACAATGAGGAAATATTTGGACCTGTGATTAGTTGTATAAAGTAAGTATAAGTTAAAAGTAAATATGTTAATTTCCTGTTTTAAATGACTAAACTAAAAATATATTCTAATGGGAGATGGACTTATTTAATAATGGGTTAATATATAAATAAAGTATATATATATATCATTAAATGTATCTACCTCTCTCTATTTTAAATTAGTGGGAATTAAGTAAAAATCATAAGTATCAATATGTTAGTGTATACAGACAAATTTCTTGTTTAAGTGAACTTGCACATTGAAGTTTATGAATGCTCATTTAGAAAAAAATAATTAATCTGTTCTTTAAATTTATAATTTATCCAGTAGTATCACATTAAATGTCGAAAAGGGTAGTCAATCACAGATTTGGCTGGTGGCTACTGAAAAAATATAATTTTTACTTAACATTTTAAAGTTTTGTCCAGGACATCTCACATTGCTTGCATCTACCTTTAAGTGGATAAGTTGTAATAGATACCCTCCAGTATTTACTCCTTTATGTGACATTGTGTGAGGGAATGAGAAGCAATATATTGGAATATGATATTGCACTGTGAATTGTACTCAATTGTGCAGTGGACAAATTATTCATTGAAAAGTCTCATATTGATAAACAATCGAGGATGAAGAAAGAAAAAGGTCCGGTCAGTTCGCAGGTAGCTGCAGCTGGAGAAGGACGCTGGAGAGAACAGAAGGCACTCTAGGCCTGGACAGGAAGAAAGGAGGTTGTCAGAAGAGAGAGGCATTGCACTGAAGTGTAAGAAGATCAAACCTAAAGTTATAAGACTTTAATAATTTCATTTATTACAGTTATAAAATAAATTGTTTTGTTAGACAGGAGTTAAAAGTAATTTATTTATTTAGTTGTCCCATAGGCCTCACAATTGAAGAATAACAAACCGGGTGAGTTAATTCATTCAAAGTGTATTTACTAAGTCCCATATTTCATATATATATGTATATTCTTATTGTTTCTTCTCTCTCAGTGTCACAAAAAGGTTATTTATAATTACTGCCAAAACGGGTTATTTACTAATGGATCCCGAACGTGATATTTACAAAGTATTAATCTTGTTTGAGAATTTTCCAAATAAATCATCTAAGTATTTTTATGTCTCAATCCTGGTTTTATTAAATTATTTTAGACTTGACCTTTTTGTAAATATATTATCATGTAATAATTTGCATTATCAATATACCAATTATTTCAGTTTTAGGAAACATTGCAATAATTTATAATATTTCACAAATAACAATGGTTTACGTAACAAACTTCTTGGACTATGTTTTAATTCATTACTCAAGCTAAGATCCTGGGGCTAGGAGCTTGTTTTTATTTTAATTTTAAAATAATTGAGATATATTACACATTTTTTTCAGCTTATAATTTATTCTTATAAATCTTATACATATCAATATATATATGTAGCATATATTAATGCAACTTTTAATTAGGTTTTCAGATGAAAATGAGGCTTTAAAAGTAGCCAACGGAACTAATTCAGGCTTAGCTGGCTATTTCTACTCAAAAGATGTTTCACAGATATTCCGAGTTTCAAAAAAGATTCAAGTGGGTATGGTTGGCATAAATGAAGGAATAATTTCTACAGCTGAAGCTGCATTTGGTGGTATTAAAGAATCGGGCTTGGGCCGTGAAGGCTCACATCACGGAATCGAAGAATTTGTTAACATAAAATATTTGTGCTTTGGTGATTTATAAAATTAGTTATTAGATTTTCTCAAAATTGTTATTTTAGTTTATTTACATTTACTTAGTATAAGTAATTCAATACAGTAATTTAAATTACTGCAATATTATTAATTTAATTAAGTGATTATTATAATATTTTTGTTATCAGATTTATATTTCTGTAAAAATTAAATTTAAAAATAATGGATGTTGATGGTACCTCTTTAGTTGGAGCATATATAAAATATTTTTCTCATTGCTTTCATAAGAGATACTTTTAAAATTCTATACAGTGGAACTTTTCATATGTTGGAATGAGTAAAGTCTAGTTATTACAATTATTAGAATGTCAGAACGAATGGAAACTATTTCGTTTAATTTTAGGTAGTTCAATTTAAACTACTTATGGAATACTTTTTTTTTCTAGGCCAAATTAGTTGTCTAAATTATTTTTGAAAGAATATTTTTACTATTATTATTTTGAACTTTTTAAAATTATGTTTGTTAAATTATATTGTTCCTGTTTAAATTTAGAACAATAAATTTCTTAATATATATAAGATTCAGAAACAATTTTTAAAAAAATTTGTTGAAGATCGTATACTTTCAAAACAAAAATATATTAAATTAAACTTCCTGAATTAAGTTTTTTCTTGTCTGTTATGTCGTATATTTCTTCTATCTTAATGTTATTTCCTCAGTTAAGGTTTAGTTACTAAAGGTTATGTGAAATTAAAAATTTATTTATTGTAGGTTTTTCATCAAACATATTCTTGCTGTTTCATACACTATGTGGTCATATAATATAAGACCTGTTTAAAAAGTTTTGCATGGGGTACTTGAATGAATTTTCAATTTCTATTCTTCATAAAGATGTGAAGATTAGGATTGAAAAAAGATCCTGAATTTTTCTGACGTATGTTTGCAAAGATAATTAGTATAAAGAAAAGTGACAGGGATGGAGCAAGTTCACGTAGATGGAGACATACTTACGTAACAGGCAGTCAGCGTATAGCATTTACCATTGATTATCTTGTATTTTTTAACTTTACAAAACTTCCATTTAAGAAATATTTTTCTATTTTTATCACACTATCGTTTCTAAATAAAATTATTTAGTTTAAAATGTATTTTATTAACTTTTATAAAGAAATATTATAAACCAGCCTTAACACTATACATACGGCACACAAGATGGAAAATTTCATGTTTCCTTTATTTTTTTCACATAATCTCATTTTCGTTTAAATTAACTAAACCGTAGGTAGGGAACCTTTTTATCATTAGAGGCTGCTGTAAGGTTAGACATTGATAGTGGAGGCCACAATAATAGTTTATATTTTACTGTTGCTATTTTTATTAATAAGAAAATAAACCCATACATATATTCAATTTATTTCTATTGATTTCCAAATTTTCATAACCTAAATAATTAAAATTAATTAATTCTAGTGCTAGATCAATGAAGACCATGAAAAAACAATTTGGATGCCACAGGTTCCCCATCTATGAACTAAACCTTTAATTTGATGAATCAAATTGAATATTATAAGAATTAAATATTTGCTAAAATTCTAAAAACAAAATCCCAATAGATTTTTGTTGAAATTCTCTATGTTGCAAAGATTCTCTAATTTTAAATATTTATTTTATATATTATATATTTATTTCATATTTTAAACAATTCTCTATTTTGGAAAGATTCGAAGTAAAAAATGAATCGAAAATATAGTTATTAACTAACTTTTTATGATTGGGTTCTTTCTAGAAAATAAAAAAAATGGTTAGTTCTGAAGTATAGTAGAGTCTCTAAATCCCAAACATGAAGATTCCTTTAAAAAAAATGTTTATCCTTGTCATACTGAAAACAATAAAATTTTATTTTAGGATTATAAAAGTATCATTGTTCATTTTTTTTACGATATACGGTGGCATTTTATTTTAGGGAGTGGGGTAGCTCAGTGGGTGAGCACTGACTTCCAGAGCTCAAGATCCTAGGTTCGTGTCCGGCTGATGACTAGTCATTTTTCATCAACGAGGTCGACCGGGAGTCCCTCCGGGAGCAAACCCAGACTCTTTAAAGTGGGTACTCTTAATTAAATAATTAAGGGGGAAAAACTGGTGGTTGAGCGTGATATTGGCCCGTCACCTCCCTGCACAACCGTTGGCCTTGTAACGGTACTTCCTCACATTGTATTGAACCCAAGACCCTTCGTGGGTTGTTAGTGGTACAGTTTTTTTTTTTTTTTCATCTATTTTATCAAACTTAGCATTTTATCGTTTTCAATCTTTTCCTAAATTTTTAAACATTTAAACTTAATTCAAAATGTGAATTTCATTCTGTTTAAAAAAAAAAAAAAAAGATTCAGAGAACAACACACTCCAGAGAACACATCTCACTCGTGTGTTTAACACAATTGTTTCTTTTTAAACAAGATGTTTCCCAAATTTTCATTGCTTTGTGTAAAAATTTATTTTTTAATTATTGACCATTCTTGTGAATGTAAACTAAGAGCCATTTTATATTTTTTGAATGTGACTAGTCGATACATAGAAATTTCATTTGATATACATAATATTATTTCTAATAAAAATTGAAAGTTTCTTAAAAAGCTTTGATTTATAGCTATCATCGATACATGGAAGGTCTGAATACACAGTTCAGCTGTATAACATAAATGTTTAAATTTTTCATTCAAGATTTTATTTGTATTTTGAGAAAATAATTAAAAAAACAATAAAAAGTAATCTCCTTTTTAACAGCTTATTTAGTAAATATACTGTTTCAAAATTATTTTAAAAGGATAATATCTAAAAGAAAGAATGAGCCTCATTCTCGAAGAAATAAACATACAATTCAAAATGTTAACTCACTGATCTATTCTCAACCATACCTGAACAGTCATTTCAAGTTATGAGCTGAATGTGAACCTTTTTTTGTTATTTAAAAAATGCAATCTCAATAATATACATGTTCTTTATTACTTAAATTCAATTACAACTCTAATTTACAGAATTAGTTTTCCATGGAAGTACTCCATTGAATAGCCAAAGTCAGAAGTGTTTAAGTGTCCAATGAATAGTCCACTGGTGTCTTTAAAAAGTTTATACTTTTATGTAATAATTGATATGAATTTTACTAACACTTTAAATTATAATGTGTTTAAAAGTGAATAATTATTACCTAAACCTAATTCATCGTAATATTTCTATAAAAAATCATTATTTCTTCGTCAACCACACAATTCTCTGTTGTATTAGTATGGAAAATGGAAGGTAAAATAAAATTATGTTATAATTTGCATCGAAGAGAAGTTCCACTGTATGTCTTATATTACATTGTTCTACTATTTAAGTCCTAATAATTAAATGGAACCCTTGCTTCCTTTAAAGAAACGTACTGACTAAAGTCTTCCATTGTGGTATATATATTTTTATAATTAAAAAAAAAATTGTATGATTTACAAATTTTAATATTAAATATTAGATATAAAAAGTAATAATAATTATTGTTGTGATGTTTTAAATTGGTTGTTTGAAAAGAATGCTTCTGTTAATATTTTTTTTTTTTATTCTTGAAGTTTATGATTGTTAAAGTTATTAAAGATCATGATTGACTTGTTTAATTTAATTATTATGGTCATACATTATCACTGAACTGAGAAAACAACTGGATATCCATGATTAAAATGTTTTTTTTAGATTTATTTATAATTGCTACGTTTAAATTTTTTTATAGCTTTATAGTTTCTAGAAATACAGTATACTTTGCTTAAAATGTTTCCAAGGATATAGGGAGAAATAACATATATTTATTACTTCAAAGATTAGAAAACTAAGTCTATGCTGTTACCTCTTACAATGTTTCAACTACATAAAAAATAACAGCTATGTAAGAACTTAACATATTTTTATTTATTTATTAAAGTTAGAATTTAGAACCAACTAAGTTACCACACTGAACCTTCTACTTTTCTAGATTAATATAAATAGGTTGTCTTTTCTTAAATTTTAATCATGTGATATGTTTCAGTCTTGATGAAAACATTACATTTGAAAAAGATATATATCTTCTATTCTATATTTATTGTTTTGTTCTGAAAACTACTTCCAATTATTGTATTAGATGATTAGTTTTGTTTTATTCTTTTACTTTAGAAAAATATTATTTTTAGTAATAATTTTACTTTTTATTTGCAACTAGATTACCCTTAAAATGTCTTCCATTTATATATATATGTGTGTGCTCAAAAGTAACCTTAACCTTTTATATAGAACTATTTAGCAGGATTTATTTAAATTTTAGAGTTAATGGTTTTTTTATTTTCAATGATCATTACCATTTTCTTTTAAGCTTCATTAAGAACTATAGTCAACCATTATATATATTTTAAATTTAAATTTGTTCTGTGATCCTAATTTATTTTTTTAATTTTGGAATTTGTGAGATTCTATGGTACAATTGGCTGCTTGGCCACTCAGCACCTTGATGTGCCATAAGTGTATACCCGGGGTGCCAAAAGTGTATACTTCAGGTGCTGCAATGATAATATTTAATTTAACTTTTTATTATTCAAGATCAATATTGTTTATTTGGTGAATAGACATTAAAAAAATTCATAATATTATATTTATTAACAAAAATAAAATGAATCAAATTTATGAAAATTAATTTCATTTCTGGGAAAAAATATTATTTTGTTTATGAATATATATATATATATATATATATATATATATATATATATATATATATATATATATATATATATATATATGTATATTTAACCCTTTGCACTCGGCACCATTTTGGACGTTGCCTACCAGCAACTTGCCGCTTACCCATTGGTCCTAAATCGATTTTTTTGGTTATAATTCTATAACTCTGCTATTTTTTTAATCAGATTTCCTTGTTTTATTGCATCATTACTAAATATATTCTATTATATTTTCAATCAATTATCAGCAATAATGAACGGAAATACAATAACTGACACTATGGTAAATAACGTGAGATATCTTATTATAAAATTCAATAATTTTTTTTGAGCATTAGAAATTCTTTTAGCTCGTAAAGACATATATAAGATATAAGCTTTTTTTTTAATTTTGAAAAATTTGGTTCATTCAACTAAAAAACTAATTTTTAAAAAACTGATAGATTATTTTTATAATATTGTAAATGTCAAAGTTAGACTTTCCAAGCAAAATAATATTTTAATTTTTTATTTTCATTTAATTTTAATTCAATATAAAATTCAGTATGGAATTATTATATCATAGTTGATTTGTCATGCAACTTGATATTTTTATCATATTTTGATCTGTTTTTTGTGCCATTTTAATAGAATACTACAGAAAAACGCTTTTCTAAAAAAATTGCAGTGGAATAAGTTCATTCTCTGTAATTTCTAATAAACTTTAAACCAAACAACCGAGTTCAAAGGGATATAAATATAAAAGGATGCTCATACATATATGTATACATACACACTGCTGCTCATAAGCTTAGGACCACCACAATTGTTAGTTAAATTTTTTTCAAATGAATCTTTAATGTAATAATAGCATAAAAGATAATATAAAATATTATAACTTTTGAATCATATGTTATAAAAACATAAAATAAATGTTATACCTTTTTTATCATAAAATCCTCCCTCTTATTTTGCAAGACTACGTTTACCACTCTTGGCATTCCCACAATAGTTTTGTCTAATGTTTCAAATGATATATTATCCTAAGTACTTTTTAGGGAGCTTAAACTAAAAGCTCCCAAAGATTTTTTTACAAGTCGAAGCATGATTTCGGACCTTTCTGTCAAGTTCTTCCCAAAGAGCTGGCCAAGTCATATGTTGCAATATACCTTCATCTTCTTTTTGTTTTAAATACCCTCTACAAAGTTTCAAAGAATTTTTCGGGTCATTATTCTGATGCATAATAAAACCAGAACTGATTTAACGAAGGCAAGAATGAATTGCTCTGTTTTTATAACTCTCTTTGATAAAAGTTCTTATACTTTATACAAGATCTCTTTGCCAAAAGCCTGTGAAACATCCCCACATGAAAACTTAACCTCCGCCATACTTTCACTGTTATATCATGAGCCCACCGATACTTTTTTCTTATCAGTAGGTCTTCAAAGTCGTTTAAGGTAGCCACAGGTCCCAGTAAATTTGCCTCCTTGAGTCTTTGTTTTATTGTTGCAATAGAAATCGATTTTGGGCGAAACTATTGATTTCAGCTCAAATCTGAAGTACTTCTGTTTCTCTTGGTTTCTATAATAATAAACTTATCTTCTTGGGTAGATGACATTCTGGGTCTACCTGTTCGAGCTTTATCGTGGTGATAGTGCGTCTCTCCGTAGTGGACAATGGTGTTATGCAACCCACTTTTTGTTTAGTTATAAAGAGAACTAATAAATAAATAAAGATAATATATATATATTTTTTTTTGTTGGTTGGCTCTACAGACCTTGTAGATCTTTGGGTACCTGAACCAGCCTTCTCCACCTCTGCCTATCTTGGGCTACTGCTTTCCAGTTTGCGGCATGAAGCTCAGCCGTATCTTTGTTTATTATATATATATATATATATATATATATATATATATATATAAAGAGTTATACGGCAATTTGGCACTCAGATTTCTTTTTCTTATGTAATGTGTGAATAACACTACTACGCAGTTCAATGGAAAATTCTTTCTTTTTATCCATTTTTTTAGGAATAACAAAATAAAGAGACTGTAAATTGCAACTCATTTAACTTCAAGATTTGAGAGAACACTGAATTAAACTATGAACAAATATATATCTTAACACTCCTTGGAAAAGTGCCTCAATGTAAATAAAACTCTTGACAAACTGACACATTGTTTCTTTTCATGAATTAATATTAGAACATTGTGATGTTGAAATGATGTATCAGTGAAATATTTTGATCATCTTATTTATCATGTATTATTTGATTACATCTCATTAATACAATCAATTGTTAATAAAATTCATATACTGCAAGATATTCTGTAGTTAGAGAATATTTACTGTATGATTAATTAAAATTTTGAGTGATTATCTTATTATTTAATAAAATAACTGGTGGTGCTAAACTTTTGATTGGCAGTGTGTGTATATATAGTTTTATTACAAGGAAAAAAAATTATATATATATATATATATATATATATATATATATATATATATATAATTTTAATAAGTAATAATACTGAAAATTCAACAAAATTGTAATCATAGATAATATAAAAAAAATAACATTTTGTTTGTGATAATTACTAAAACAAGTTAGTGAGATAATAATTGAATTCATCATTCCTATAATATAGAGTAAAATTATTTTAGGAATAAATACAATTTTTTATTGTGCCATATATACATTGTGTTTTAAGCCAAAACATTTTATTAGACTGAATATTTGTTGTTATTATACTTGTTTATGGAAATATAATCCTTTAAATTGTTTATTATTTCCATATTGATTTTTCTTCCAATATTCCATGTGTTTTTTAAAGTTATATTTATTAATATAATACTAGTCATGCAAGTGTTGTTATGTTATTCCATGTCACAATTAGCTTATATCAATATTAAGAATGATAGATGGTGGACTCTGATGGCAAGTTAAATTAATAAAATTAAGTTGAGGACCAGTCAAGGTCAATAAACAAGTTGTTTTTAAAATTAAATTAGCCATTGTTTTAGTTAAACTTTGTAAACTGATATCTAGATATGAAACAGAAATGATAAAATATTAAAACTAAAATTAATTTTCAGATAGGCTGCATCAGCAATGATGAAAAATACAAAAACAAATCTATACGAACATTAATAATGTTGACTTACCTTAATAATTATTATTTATTTACCTGTTTTTGAATAATTTCCATCAACCACTCTTATGATTTTTTAAATATTATTTCAGTTTTCTATATATATATATTTTTTAATTAGTTGCTTATATCATACATTATTTCAGTATAGCTTTACTAATTCCCAACTGAATATTATGTAGTAGAAAATGTAGTAGTAGAATATGTGTCAAAATATTTGAGTACTATGAATAAATCTGCCAATTAATATTTCTATTGTTTTTATTTCAGAACTATTTTTAGTTCCTTTTTACCTGAACATAAACCATGATTATGGTTTTATTTAAAGTTCCTGGAAGAGTTACTTTTATTCTATGTTAGCTGTTTTTCTTGTTATATTTTTTTATTTAAATTAATCATTTATCTTTTCTGTTTCTTTATTACAATATATTGTTTCTTCATAATTTTTTAATTAATTACTTCATTTTATACTCTAATGGTAATAACTTATATAATTTGTGGTGGTTATTTATCATATAGAATGTATGGTTTTTTTTTTAAATAAAATATATTAGAAAAGAAAAACAACGTTTTATTTCACAATAACAGTACACTTCTTAATTTACTAAATCCATCACAAAATTAAAAAAAAATGTTTGAAAACATTACTTATGGTTCCTCTTTTGTGAGCTCAAGCCTTGTGGTCACAAAAATAACCATTAAAGAACTAAATTGAACACAGTCCATTTCTAATGCATTAATATTACTAGAGATCGTAATGTAGGAGGTCATGTAGTAATTTGTATATATATATATATATATATATATATATATATATATATATATATATATATATATATATATATATATATATATATATATTTATGTGTGTCGGTATAAAATCAATATCAAATAATATACAATCTATACAAAATCTGTCATGATTCTTAAAATGTTATTTTTGGAAGTATTTACAAACATTATGGAAACTTACAAACTATGTTTTAAAACAAACATGAGTAATAAAAAGACCACCAACATCCATTTGAAGGGATACAAGTAATTATTTCTTTCACAACCTAACTTTTAATTATCTATTGAAATTTTTGGATATATCTACTATATCAACACTAATAGCTCCATTCTTTCTATAGATCTTTTACAGTACATATGCTTTTTTGTTTTTTATTTTATTATATTTTTTTATCAAATTCTTATTTAAAACTTTTATATTTATTTAATGGCCTGCAAATTAATTAGAAGTACATAATTATATGTCTTTTTTCTTCATTCTAACATCATCTTTATTACAGTACATTAAAAAGCAATCTAGTAGATTCATTTGGAATTCGAATCTGATCTATTTTTTTCTCACTATCATAATGAGCTCACATCTTTCGTCACTTGTTTCATTTTTCTTCTCAAAGCTGGTATATCATCTTCAATTCGAACTAACATCCGCATCCTCTATATTTATAAGAATAAATTTATTGTTTCATTAGTAAAATATATTAGTGGTTAACAAGTAATACAAAAATAGAGAATAAAATACCACTTAAACCTTTACATACTTAAGTGCTTAGTATTTCTAAGAAACATCTTTACGTAATGATTTACTGTATTAAGTCATTTTTTAATCAATTTCTTTTAACAAACAAGTAAAAATAGCAAAACTTCTTCATTTTTCTTTTTCTTTAACACTATGTGAATATAAATTTTTATAACTGTAAATTAATACATAACATTAACTCATTAAAATACGTATGAAATATGCTTTGATGCTATGTAACCTCTGACTTATAGTTTGATGGTGGAGTTGTGACTACTTATAATTTTGTTTTTTCTTCTGAAAATTCGTAATGTGGATGATAAATTAATTATAATGGAGTGAAAAGCCAATCCATATATTAACGAACAAGATCAAGAAATACACTTAAGCCAATTATCAATCACTAGAACTAAAAATGTATAAACTAAAATATTGAATATCATCACAAAGAATTTACTTGGTGTCCTGTAAGTAAAAGGAAATACACTGACAGGCAAAAAATTCCAACCACTTGATTTTTCCATGTTTTCATATAAAAATATTTCTGTAAATTTGTATTTGTATATAATACATGGTATTTGTAGATAATACTTATTATTTATGGAATTTTATAATATTCTTTACCTTTAATAATCAAAATGTGATTGGGTAAGAAAGATTAGAGAAAAAAAAAATTGAAAAACGAACCATTATTATTCTAAAAGAAATTAATTACATCATCGTTTAGTAGTGCGTGTTTCCTCCTCATGCCTTCACTACTTCTTGAAAATGCCTCGGCATACTTTCCACCAGTCGGGAAATGTCTCTTTGCTGGAGGATAGCCCATTCCTCCCGAAGAGCCCTTTCAAGGTCCTGCAGTGTATCAGGAAGTGTTGCATGCGCTCTTATTCGTCTTTCGAGGTTATCCCATAAATGCTCAATGGGGTTCAAATCTGGATAACGTGCTGGCCAGGTTAAAACCTCAATATTGTTCTGTTGAAGAAACGTCTGCACTATGCGGGTGACATGTGGGCGTGCATTATCGTGCATTAGAATAGAACGATCGCCGATTTCGTTGAAGATAGGCAACACATGAGGTTCCAAAATCTCATCTGCATAGCGAATGGCCGTCAAAGACCCTCCACGAACAACAACCAATTCTGTGCGGCGCTCCATTGAAATCCCAGCCCACACCATTAAGGAACCACGTTGGAAAGGTTGGCTCTGGGAAAAATTACAGGCTGCATATCTTTCGTTTCTTCTTCTCCGCACCCTTTCACACCCATCTGGAGATCGAAGAGCGAATCTTGACTCATCTGTAAAAAGTACAGCACTCCATTCGTCCATAGTCCAATGGCTGTGTTCTCGAGCAAAACCCAGCCGTGTTACTCTGTGAGTTCTGGTCAACTCTGGTCCTCTTACTGGACGAAAAGCCATTAATCCATACTCATTTAATCTTCTCCGGGCGGTAAGTTCAGAAGTTTGCACACCTCGAACTTCTTAGAGCTGATGAATCGCTTGAACAACGGTAAGGTGACGGTTTCGAAAAAATTCTCAAAGTCAAAAACCCTAGGCCGTCCAGAACCGGGCCTTCTATTGTAAGAACCAGTATCCCGAAAACGCCTGACGGCGTCTCGTAAAGTTTCATTTGGCATTAGCTGCATATCTAATAGAACGTCCATCATCAATAAGTGTCACACCACGCGCAACATCCTCAGCACTAAGAGGCATTTTTAAACTTAATATTAAAAAAATTAAAAGCCGGAGACTAAGAAATGTGCTGCAAGAAACGACATTGAACTAATGATACTGAATGGATTCCATTTTGATTCTATAGAAAGTAAACATTGGAATCTAGAATCATTTCATTGAATTAAGGGTTATTGTCCTCTATATTAACATTCCTAATTGAAAACAAACAAAAAGATTATCTATTTATTCATTAAAACAATAGACCAATCCAAAGCAGAAATATTTTTAGATGAAAAAATCAAGTGGGTGGAATTTTTTGCCTGTCAGTGTATTTAAATGGGTTGTAGTAGACCCCAAGAGGAGACGTTTTTTTTATTTTCTGCAGAAAAGCAAATAATTAAAGTTTTGACTTTCTTTAAATAAGTCACTTTTTACATTCATAAAAACATGCTGCATACTTTTGTGTCACTATAATTTACTGGTATAAAATAATTTATATATAAAATCAATTTTTAACTCACTCTCAGATTCACTTTCTGAACACAAATTGTTCTCTTCCTGTGGTATTTATTGTATTTCTAACAAAACTGTTCAGGTCGCTAGCTCAACATGGTGCGGTCGGAAATAATAACAAATTTTCAAATATGAATAATTAAATAAGAAATAATTAACAAAATTTCAAATCTATCGGAACTAGAAAAGTTCAATCTGCCTACTGATAATACCTACTCAACTTTTTCTTTGACTATTAAAATTATTGGATTATAATATTTAATCAAATATTAGCAATATTTAGAAACGTGGTAAACAGTTCTGTTCTCATATTTAACACAAATATTCTACAAATAAAACATTTTATTATCTTCTTATTTTTCTTTTTTTATTAGGAAAAAAAAATATTTTATGTCAATGTCTTTAACTAAGGAATTTTATATTTATATTAAGCATTCTTACAAAATAAGTATTTAAAATAAATAATTTTTTTTGCATGACACTTAAAAATTATGAGAACAGTTTAATAAAGTGGGAAAAACATTTCACAGACTGACATCCCATATTACCTTGTTTTCGTCTAACGTAGATAGGAGGGGACTGAGCTCTCAAGATCTCGCTTTTATTAGTTATCCCCATCCGTGGGCGTATCCAGAGTGGGGGAAGGAGGATATTTGACCTCCCTTTCAAACGTAGACGAAATTAAAAATGAAATTGCTATAAATATAAATCGAATTTTTGTAACCATTAACAGTTACAGATTGGTAATACGTATTGAACTTTTTGAAGAAAAAAAAATATATAGAATAAAGATTAATCTACGCTACAAATGAAATGAACTGATCACTACCGGATACCACCTTGTTCTTAACTTTTTAAAATAGAGAAAACGTCTAGAGACTTCATAGAACCCGGAAGGCCAAATATATGATAATATACATACCGTGTTAAAATCTCCAGGAGTGTTCATCCAAGAATATATCATATATCCAGGTATGCATAACATCGATGACAAAGCAGTCAACCATCCGAGTGCGTGACTCCACCATGGGTATTCATAATCCAAGTATTTGATAGGTGTCCATTGAACCAAATTAAAAACGAATGTTCCCTGAAGTCATAATCAAGTTGGCATTTAATCGGTATTGGCATGATTAATAATATATTATTGAATGATGAATTACTAGTGAGTACCCATCCTAGGTGAGATATCTTACCACGCATATTAGAGGAGTGGCAAATACCCAGCAAAATTTCCAACCCGACCATGGATAGTAGCCGATCATCTCTTTTATTCCATCATAAAAGCGATTCACTCCAAACGCCCAAGATATAGCGATACATTCAAAGAAGATTAAAAATAACAAACAAAAACCGCTGACTGCATATGAATCTAAAATTTGGAATACGTACATTCCTCCCTGAAAAAAAAAAAAAATTGGCAACATTAAAACCTTTCATATTTGTTTATATATATATTATATTAAAAATTAAGGGAATATTTTACCTGAGATATACACGAAAAGCCCACAAGGTAGGATAAAATGCAAACAATTCCGATGAAGATTTCTTTCCTTTTCCGCAACAGTTGCGGCCACTCATCAACCATTGCTGTTATAAACCCTTCCATTGTACAAAACTGCAAAATTTAATGATTATGAACTACTAATTCAAGTTTAACTTGCTATAAATATTGTTCAAGGTTCTAAATTATTAAAAATAATGGAAAATCTCAATAAAAGAACAAAGTACTATTCATCATGGCCGTAACAATCATATTGTAATATAAAATGTTAGTTTGTGCTAGATAAAACGCTGTACAATGACAGTGAATATGAGATAAGATAAATACAAAATAGTTTTTTTTTCTTTTAATTAAAATTAATTCAATTACCTGGCTGTCCAAACCGATGAAGAGGAGCATGATGAAAAATAGGCAAGACCACAAAGGAGCACCGGGTAACTGTAGTACAGCAGACGGATATGCCAAAAATGCCAATCCTGGCCCTAAAATGAAATCAGTATTTATAAAAAAACAGTTCATACTTAAAAAAACTGAACCAAATATTATAAATTATTATAATAAATTGAAAAACAAATGTATTCTAAAGGTATACCATTTGAGACATGGAAGTTGAAGATTTGCTTAGTAGCATGGTAATGGCTTGAATCAATCAAAACGACAAGTAACTAAAAAATTGTCATTGAACCGAAAATAGTAACTATGGATGATAAAATTATATGTTTTCATATTTTATCTATTTGAATAATATTCACACAGCTCCAAGGGATAGAGTACTCATATTTCTATTTTTGATTGCTGCTTATGGAGATAGTACAATTAATTTATGATGAATAAATGTATATATTTATATGTTTAAAAATATAAGTTGTAAAGAGCTCCTTAATAGGGATTTAATTTAAAACTATACACAGTTTACATACTAGGTATACAAGTTAATACGAAAGGAACTAAAAATGTATTTGTATTACATGAAAAATTTTTCAATTTAAACAAAATAAAAATACCTGAAGCCGCTACTTCACCAACAGGCTTCTGTTGTTCATGAGCCATGAAACCGACGACTGAAAATATTACGAATCCCGCAAACATGCTAGTTCCTGAATTGACGCAGCATACAATTAGGGCGTCTCTGTAAAAAGGCGGTTTAGTATTTCATATCGGTGGTTAGTAAACATTTTAACAAATAAAATTATCGTGTATTTGTAACTTACTTGTAAACATTATTGGTGAATTTGTTGTAACTTCCTAGAGCTACCAATGTACCCAGTCCAAGACCATAAGAGAAAAATATTTGCGTAACTGCGTCTATCCATACCTATAAATAGTCTGTGTTACTTCGCCTCAAGAATAATTTAATTTAAATGAGACTAGACGTGCTCTCATACAATTTAGCTACAGTTCGGTTACCTGGGAATCCCCAAGCTTCGAAAGATTGGGACTAATATAAAAATATATTCCTTCTGCTGCTCCAGGAAGAGTAATGCCACGAATTAGTAGGACTGTCAACAGGAAGTACGGAAACAGTGCAGTGAAATATACGACCTATTAATAAAAATATATATTGTACGAGTACTTGAATTTTCTCTGTAATTTATTCTGTAATTAATGTAAAGATTACTACCTTTCCAGTCCATTTTACACCTTTCCAGATGCAAAAGTAGCACATTACCCAGACTAATAGCAGTGTACCGGCCAGTTCCCACCGTATAGCTCCCATATGCTGCACGCCTGAGGAAATTTGTAGAACCCTTCGCCTAGAAAATAATATTAATTAAAATAAAAGAAAGTGCCTACAATAAAATAAAAAAATCATTATAATTTAATTAGCTAATATGTTAAGGATACATGATGACAAATCAAAAGATAACATCGATAGGGGGTCGATGGCGCATGAACCCCCCCTCCCTTCTTCCAAAATATTTATTTTCCCTTCATTAAATATTCCCTCCCAAAATATTTCCCTTCTTATCACTTTATTATCATAAAAGGGTGATGCTCAATTACATTGGGTTGCTTTAAACACAGCATACTTATTAATCGCTACAGACAATTTTCCAAAACTAATATACAATTATATAGTATTAACAATATGTATGAGCATAGTATACAATAATTAAATATCACTCCTCTTGCAAGTGCAAGCTAAGGTATAATTTTAGAAATCATAATTAATATATATTACAGTTTCACTGGTCTATTCTATGGTTTCCTCTAGTCGCCTTGTTTGAAACATTTCATTTAGAAAACTCATAACACCTTCGAATTTTTTTTTTTTTTTTGTCCTTCCCTTCCTCGACGTTAAGGCTATACGGGATTTTCCCGGGCCAGGGGGTGTGAGCGGGGATTTAAAAGACACCCCCGGCATCGGGATGCGAACTCGTGTCTTATTATATCTTTGATTCATTTATCAGGTTGCCGGGCAATGGCGGTGCAGTGCACACGCGTTAGCCCATTCGGCCACCCCGCCCACTTAACACCTTCGAAATGTGCTCCCCTCAAAAACTCAAAACCAGGTCAAAATGTGCCCCCTCAAAAATTTGATGGAGCCATGAAACCCCATTCTGGGCACCCCTCAACATCGGCATAACAATTTTTTTTTTCCGAATTTTAATTCAAGTGATAACAGTTCAAACTCAAAGTTGAAAATAATTCACGTAACGAATGAGGGGGGGAGTTGAAAACAAAACAAATAAAGCTAAATCATGGTTTGACATTTTTACTTATCTGTAATTTTTAAAACTGTTTTTACAATATTTTGATTGAAGAGATTTGATTCTTTTTCCTCCACTATTTTGCCTTTTCGGCAATACGGAGCTTCCCTAGGACCAGGAGAGAAAGCTGGGGATTAATGCGAGAGTTAAAAGTCCCCGGCACCGAGAACCGAACTCGTAATCTTCATCTGATCGGGTTGCTGGATAACGCGTGTTCTGCAAAAGCGTTAGCCCCCTCTCCCCTCCCAAGATATTTGATTTAATACTTGAAAAGAAAGTTCTGTTTCTTGACCTCCAACATTCATGGACGTGATTTGTATTGTGATTAACCATCAGGCTTTCCTGCTTTCCTCGTCAAACCATTGGATCCAGAGAGTCACGAAAAGCTCCATTAACCCCCGATCAAACAACAACAGATAAAACAAAAAATAAAATTTCTGCCGGAACATCTTATCATCTTCTTTAATTATTATTTTTTTAAAGTACGATCCGTAGTTTGATTTCATTCATGTTTTTCTCAGCTGCCTGCATTTGTACAAGTATGTTCACACGTCATAATGATAATAAAAAGAGACAGTACTTAAAAATTAATTTAAAAAATAGGCATATACTTTTTTTTTCTAGAGTATTATGTTTTGTATTTTTCTTCAGTATATCGCAAACATTAAGAAACAATTGTTCTTGCGAATAGAATAATTTTGATGAAGTAATGGAATTAATTATTTCTTTAAAAGGTCTTAACCAATTATCTTAACTAAGATTATTATCAATTTTATGAGCAATAGTGATTTAATTAAAATATCTAACTTGGTCCAAATACTCACTCCCAGAATTCTTTCACAGGATCGGTCAAATCTTTCACTGATACATTCTGGTTGTTTATGCTACAAAATGTTGTGTATGCTGTGGCGTTTATCTGCTTTTTCCAACAGTTCAGTGAATTTCTTTCGTAAGTATTAACGCAGTAAGGTGTATTCCAATAATTATTGCAAGTCCTCCAAGGTACATCTGGAAAGAACATTCGTTAAGTAGATATAGGCATTGAAAGAATCTTGTAATATTATTACTGTATATTACATATACTTTTGTTAATTTCGCATGCAATACCTGAAAAAAAGGTATGAAAGTAAATATTAACTTGTATCAACAAACATTTCGAATGAGTAATTCGAAGAAACATATCTCTAGTCGAGCTGTTAGGCCTCTGTATATCAAGAAACCGTTGCCAAGTGGGGGAAAACAAAAGAGGATACCAGGAGCTGCCAGGTATTTTGAGAAATAAGACCAAGAGAGACGTGGAGAAAGGCCGCAGAGAAGGAATTAGGACGGATTGGTAAGTCATGAAAAGAAGCAGGGAGGATTGCAGCTGATCGGAACGAATGGAAAACACTGATATTCTATACTGCAGAGATATACAACGGAATTAATAATAATGTATTTTCGTGTGATCTGGGAAATATGGTTATTCCATGATCGAAGGAATTCCCGAGTTTTTTTAAAGTCGCAAAAAAAAAAAAAATGAATGGGTATGAACAAATCTTAAGATTCTTTTCAAATCAATATTTTTTCGATAAAACAAAGTTTATACAAAAACACTTGGCTGATATCCTTTGCACAGTTGTCAGAATTACATAATTAGCACGAAAAAAATACATTTTCTAGTGTTCTTATTTCAAGTGAAATTAGTTAATATGTGTAGGGTGACATATAGTTTGTTTCATAGAAATCAATCATTTTCCCGGGTCAATAAAAAGGATTCACAGTTTGATTTTTTTTTTAATATATTATAAAGACTTACTTGGAAGACTCACATCAGACAAAAACGAATAGAATTAAACAGACGATACGGTCTCTTATCCAGATTACTTGACAGACGTTCAAAATTATCTTTGACTAACAAACTAACCCTTTACTTAAACTTATTTGGACTTACGGCATAGAACTGTGGGGCTCTGCTAAAATTTCCAACATTGAAAAAGTTCAGTCCTTTCAGTCAAAAGTGTTGCGAAGGATAGTTGACGCACCTTTTTATGTCGCAAATGATACACTACATAAAGACTTAAACGTACCTACAATTTTAGATGTAGCAAAAGAGAACTACAATAACTTTCACCAAAAAATGACGTACAACATGAATCCTCTGACAGAAATTCTACATCGTACAAGAAACCCGTACAGCCCACTGCGACGATTACGTAGGCGTTGGCCAAGAGACCTGCTGCTCTGATTTATATTCCGGACGTGATGGGAAGCTGTGAAGCTGCTAAAAAATTTGCTTATTGCAAAGAAATTTGCAGATTGCAAATTGAATCTAATGTTCCACATTTTTGTTTGGTTAATAAAATAAAAATAAATTTCCCATTAATTCAGACCCCCAAGAAGGTAAGTGAATCAAGTGAGAAATCAAAATTAAATATAAATCATTATTATTGCAGTAGTTCGTTGTCACCTTATGACCAATTAAATAAGCAGTCGATTAATTAAAATAAAGAACATTCTGAAAGCAGTAGGAAAAAATTGAAAACAATTACATTCTTTTGATTCCCTATTTTTTGCTTATTAATACTGCTATGATGTTGCTTAAAAAAAAAACTAAAACAACTTAATCGAGACCAAACGCCTTTCTTTTACATAACCGGGAAATGGCCATGTTGTGAAAAACATAGACCTGTTTTCACCATGGCTAGAATGCGGGACTCATAATAGAGAGAGGTTTAATTGTTATTTGAGATCATTTACCATGTAGAGATCAACGACTCTAATTTCGTCATTTAGGTTAGTCGTGATAATGTAATATATTCTCACACATATTTATATTTATTTAACTGGAGCATATACATAAAGATATCAATAAAAATAAATTACCAGTCCTCATTGACATAAAGAAGTAAAATATTGCCCACGCCAAGATGACAATGTAATATATATTCATCCAACACGACATCACTGCTGCAGCGTATCCAATGCCTACAGAATAAGATAAAATCTTTAATAAAGTGTATATTTAAAACAGAGTTACAGACTCAGATATACAATCTGTACGTATATTACCGAGAATCATGCAAGTTTAGTTAATATTAAAAAAATATAATAAAATTGTTAATATATTATTTAAGCTAGCTTAAGACACCTATTTTCATCCTACACCAAACTACTATTAACCATTAGGAAATGTTTGTTAGTTACCTTTAAAAATGGGAGCAATTTTGAAGACACCTAATCCACCTATTGTAAGCATCTGCCCTAATGCTAGTTCAAGAAAAAACATGGGAATTCCAGCCATAAGTAATGTTAGAAAGTATGGTATTAGAAAAGCACCGCCACCATTTTTGTAACAAAGGTAGGGAAACCTCCATACGTTGCCAAGTCCAATCGCCAAACCGACTACCGAAAGGATGAAGTCCAATTTGTTCGTCCAGGAGCCACGTTCCGGAAGTTCTTCGCTCAATTCAAGCTCCTGCTTCACCATCTCCTCGTCGTTCACTTCCTCCCCCATTTTCGCCTCCCTCAGTGTCATTTTCCAGATATTTCCAATATTCCACCACCTTGAACATAAAAACATAAATGAAATTAAAAGGAATAAAAAAGAAAAATAATTGCTTCTTATACCTGATAACTTTTATACCATGCGAAAAAAGAAAGAAACGACTAAATATTCTAATTAATTTATTAATTTTAGGATGCTACATTGAATTTTAGATAAGTATATTCATTGTACATACAATAATTAATAAGTGGAGGAAGTAATACGAGATGCGGATATTAAATAACGAGACCGATGCTGTAAAACAATTATTTTGATTTCATGCATTTTACTTATTATTGTCTTAAAAATACATCCACCTCAATGCTCCCTACTTTGTCACAAATAAAATCATCCATAACGACCTTAATGTACCATATGTTTCCGATTTAGCTCATTCCAGATACCTATCCTTCCATAATAAACTTCTGAACCATCCGAACCCTCTTGTTTCCAACCTTGCTTCCTCTTCTATTCCTAATAAACCTCCGAGGCGTCTGAAAAGAAGATTGGAGACCTTCTAATATAGAAACATAATTGGAGAGCTACCAATGGGTAGTTTCTCTTCATGTACATGTTATGTTACTTATTTCATATTTACTTGTTGTATTTATCATTTAATATAGCTGTGAATTTGAATAATAAAAAAAATAAATAAATAAATAAATTCATCCCTTCCCTATCAATACAAAGCTTCATGCTAATCTTCCATTGTCTGGAAGTCTTTTTTCGGCTCTTTCAGGACGTGTGCCGCTTTTTCTTTCACAGCTTCATCTTTAGAAAACTTACTATAATAAAATATCACTGACACTGACATCATCGACTTCTTTTACATTCCCTGGCATAATCATATTAATATGCGGTATCACAAGAAAAAGTCATAACACGGTCACTCAACGTCTACCATTTTGGGATAGTGGCCTGTAGAAACGAATGTATGATTTTTTTTTCAGATCACACTACATTTTCTTCGTTCCTCATAAACAATAAAACGAAATTTTTCACAGTATCGGTGTATGTGTAAGGAAGACCCCGAATCTCCTCGGAGGAAGGCGTGCAGGATGTGTTCCAGAAGCGATATTTAGAATGGAACAGGAGACGAGAGCTAGTACGGGAAAGGTCCATCTGGTCCAAGCTCTACAAAAAGCAGCCTCACACTGCTTTAGCGGTAAAGAGGAACTTGATTATGATGATGATGATGGTCGGTGTATATGAATAAATAATTAACAGTCAAAGTGACAAGGATTTGTAGACAAGTTTTATGTCCGCCATAAAATATAATAAAAAAGTTGATGGATAACAGTCTGTCTCGGCTTCTTAATTTTTTCTAAATGGGGGATACATATTGAAAACTCTTTGTATATCTTCTTGGACTAGAACATATTATTTTTATTAATACAAGACTTGATATTTTTTTTTGGAGCATCTTTCGGAGAGGTTAACAAGGTGTTCTCAATGTTCACAACAGTGGGACTCGTATTTCTTTTGTCAGCATGTCTAATTTTTGCACGGCAGCAAAACAGTTCGTAGAGAAACTTTTACAAACGACTCATATATATGACAATAATAAGACCTATCTGGACTTACGGAATTGAACTTTGGGGCTCCACTAAACCATCGAATTTCTCTCGTATCCAATCCTTAGAGTTCAAAATCCTTCGGGAAATCCTCAACGCTCCTTACTTCACAAATAAAATCATCCATAAAGACCTTAATGTTCCATATGTTTCCGATTTGGCCCAATCCAGATACATATCCTTCCATAACAAACTGCAGAACCATCCGAACCCTCTCGTTTCAAACCTTGCTTCCACCTCGATTCCTGATAACCCTCCAAGGCGTATGAAAAGAAGGTGGCCTCGTGATCTTCTTGTGTAAATTTATTATTTGAGCGCTATCAGTGGGTAGTTTCTCAACAAGAGATTTCATGTTATTATATTCTTGAGTGCACATTTACTAGTTGTATTTTTTTTTATAATACAATTGTATAATCACTCTTATGCTTGTCCTTTTTTACTTCAAAAGTAGGATTGTATATATATATATATATATATATATATATATATATATTTTTTTTTTTTTTTTTTTTTTTTTTCAAAGGTAAAACCTAGTGTGTCGTTAGTGTTTCTCAAAAATATTCCCATGCTATAAACATTTTTTAAATATAAAATATCAGAAGTTATTATCCATAAATATTTAAGAGATCAATATTTGCTATTTTGCAGTGTACACTGTGAGGGGCGGTAAGTGGGTCAGTGCTAGGAGCAGTGCACAAACAAAGTTGTAAAAACCAATCATCAATAGTTATCTATCTATCGTATTTTTTGTCTTTTACGGAATTTTGTCCCCAAAAAGATGCTTCCATACCACTGTATGGCGCGATGCTAAGGCAGTGCGTTTCATACCAATGTGCGCTGTTGAGGACGAGCCTTAAGGTAGTCCTATTATGTTTAAAAACTTCCCTTTAAGCCCATTTTAAGATATAGAATAAGCATTCTCCTCCATTCTCTTACATATTCCTTGCTATACATTAACAAAATTCGTGTTCAGTTTCAAAAACTCTATATAAAACCTTTAGTCCATACTTAACTTGAAATTACTATATTTCCATATAATTCAAAAATCCATCTCGTTCAGAATTTGTGCTCCCAACTTTTAAACTATGAAAGCTAAGGCTGCCTGTATGGTATGAAACTAAAAAGGTCGATTCATTTTCGGTATTCCCAAACCCTCACATGTTTCTCTATGTTATTGTAGGGCTGGCTTTATTTTAATTTTCGATGACAATACATTCTTGGTGCCTGCTAATAAAATCCTTAAGAACCAAAAAACGTTGTTTTTGACCTTCTTAACTCTGCGTTCTTTCAGGCTCTTCTTAAATATGAGAACTCAAACTACCAACCTTTTCACTGTAAGTATATAGAACTGTAGTATTTTCAATGTAATTCTATTTATTTGTACCGTCCAGGATAGGGAAAGAATAATCCTGGGGCATCTCCTGCCTTACACAGGTACGCTAGCCCAAGTATGTTTTACACAAACGTATTGTTAAAAAATCTCAATAAGGCTTCGGAAATCGACTGAAATATGGTAAAAGATCCAGCTTGCAACGGACTGAACATTTGATGATTGGAACCTGGAATGCGGGTGGGCTACTGGAGGTGGGAAATAGTCTTGTATTAGAACATTGTATGGAGGAGTATGAAATGGATGTGGTTGCATTAAAGCAGATGAAATGGAGATAGGAGCCTACCACAGTGGAATTGAGCAAATATATTCGTATCAATAGTGGGCATACCAAGAGTATAGTCGGTACAGGTTTTATGGAGAAAAAAAAACTAGCTAAAACAAGTATTACTCTGTTACGAGACAATAAATGAAAGGATGTGCTACATTAGTTTGAAATGGAGATTTTGCAATATGTCTGTCCTTAATCAGTGTACACGCACAAATAGGAGAAAAAATGGACGAAGACAAGGAGGAATTTTATACACAACTGGAAAGGGCATATGATAAAGTTTCCAAATACGAATGCAAAATTATCTTAGGCGATTTTAATGAAAAAATTGGAAGAGAGGACATGGAAAGGTTTATAGGAAAATATAGTTATTACAAAATAACTAATGTCGGCTGATAATTGTTGGTTGAGTGAATTTCGCAACCTGCAAAAATATGAAAATAGTAAGCACCACCTTCCAGCACAAGCCTACACACCTAAAAACTTGGATATATCCAGATGTCAAGGCCAGAAATCGAATTCATCATGCATCGAAATCAGTATCAAACAGTAAACAGTAAACATAGCTACAGAGGGGCGGACGGATTCAGTGACCATTTCTTGGTTCGGTTGAAGTACAGGCAGAGACTGGCTACAACGACGAAGGGGGGAAATGGAAAGAGTAGTAAAAATATAATACTATCGCCCTAAAAATACCTGAGATAAACAAAGAGTATAAAGAGAAAGTTAAGGAATATCTGAAGAACAGCCCACTAGAAGATAAAACTGTACAAAATAAAATAGATGGAATAAAATCAAGACTACTTTTATAGAGGCTACGGAGGATACAACTAGAGCAGGAAGATGTTAGAAAATGTCACTGGTTTGGTTAGAAATGCCAAATCTTCGTGAAGGAAAAAATAAAGCTAATATGAAGATGATACGAAGAAGAACCAAGCAAACAGTAGAAAACTATAAAAAAAAGAGGAAAGCGACCAAAAAACTGTGCAGGAGTAAGAAGTGGAAGATAAAAGTAAAGATTAAGGACTTCGAGCCTAAAAAAACCAGAGGCTTTTTCAATAAAATGAAATTATTGAGGGGTGTAAAGACAGGGTTACCCCACTTGCTGGGCGGACAAAAGGAAATAATTGAAAGACGGAGAAGCTATTTCAGTGAATTGTTTTATCCCGACCCCGAAGAAATGTCAATAGTTAATGAGTGCGATAGAGCAGAAACGGAAACAGATCTCGCACCCTCAGACCCAGAAGAGACAGAGGAAGTTATCTTAAACCTAAAAAAAACAAAGCCGGGAATCGACAGTATAACCGCCGAGATGTTTAAATGTGGGAGAGATATATGGAACCGGGAAATCTATGAACTTATCCTTGAAATATGAGAAAAGGAACACATACCGAAGAATGATATACATACAGCCATCATAGTGCCTACATATATACGAAGGGCGATAAACTGGATTGTCATGATCAATGAGTGCTCAAAACTATAGAGCACAATTTATAAAGAATTAGCTATTCTGCTATTAAAAATGTAATGGTAATGGCAGAATAAATAATTGGCGATTATCATTGTGGAAACTGGTCAGGAAGACCGACGAACCATCATATCTTCAGCATCAGGATCATGTTGGAGGATTGTTATAAACGGAACATCAACCTGACCACCATTTCATAGACTATAGAAAGGTATATGACAGCGTCAAAAGAAACGAGCTCTATAAAAAGCTATGGAATCTAGGCTGCGACCTAAAACTCATTAG